CGCCGGCTTCGACATGCGTTCATAATCCATTTCTTCGACAAGCCGTTTCCAACGCGATTTTAATCTGCGCGGGCGATACATTTTGCGTTATGGCAGCGGCGGAATGCCATCGCGAAATTTATTACGGTGCGCCGCGCCGTTTGGAATTCCACGAAGAATTTATATGCCAGCATCGACTTGTCGTACCTTGGACGGCTACGAGTTACTTAATTGACATAGCCACATCATCGATTTCTTTCAGAGACCACTGACCTATTTCCCCGGTAATACCTTTCATTGTCATCTCCGTGCTATTCTGACACGTGAAAATATAACTTCCAAAAGTAACACGAGGCATATAAAAAATTTAATATTTCAAGATCACAAATATTTTAAGGTAGATTAAATGTCTGAAATGGTTTTATGAGAGTTTCGTTTTCCCTGTAGCACAATACACGATAAACAACGATTATTTTAGACATGTGCACTTATTTATAAAATCCCGGATTTTTTTTTTAGGTATAGATCACGACTCGAAAGCGACACATCGCAGACTTTCCAAAGTGAAAAAAAAAAAATAAAAAATTCTGGACATTTTTATTCTCGCCTACTTTTTATTCCGCGAGACTAAAAACACAATCCCCCGGAGCAGTAAAAGGACGCAGACATCCGTTACGACATCCCTGTTCCCGTCGCGCGCGCTTCTAAAAATTAATTAATGCGCAAATTTAATCGGAGAAGCGAGACAATATGCCTCAACGGCCGGGATGATTGATCGCAAATGAATTCAGATTAGGCCATCGACACTGTCGGACGATCGGACGATCGTCCTCCGTGTCCTCCGTGTCCTCCGATTTAAAGATTAAAACGGCTTTAAAAGCGATGCTTCGCGGTCCATGAGAACTGGTGCACGGTGCCAACGGAGGCGACTGTTTAGACGCGCGGCGCGGCGATTGCGCAACGGTGGCGGCGGTATCCCGCGCGCGGATCGGCCTCTCAAATCAATCGCTAGATCAACCGGCGAACTCTCGCAACTTTTCCTTTATGCATAATCGCGGCGTATCGCGGCGACGTTATAGCGCAACGTTCACTAACTAAGTGGATTAACGGACTTCTTATAGCTTCTATCGAACTTGTTTAAGGCACGTTTCGCGTGTAACATATAAAATGTTTGCCGGAAAGAACGGTTTCGCTGAAAGGTCTAAAAATTTTACTATATATAAATCTGAAAATAATTTTGTTGGTAAATTCAAATTGATTGCTAAAATATCAAAACGTTTCAGAGCAATGCTTATTATTTTTGAATTTTCAATAAAATTATTTTCAAATCTGCATCAAAATTTGTAGCAAAATTATTAGAACTTCCAGCAAGATTGTTCTTTCCGTACACAGATCTCTTTCTGCGCTCGATGAGTGTATTCCCGTTATTCGACTCGCTACATTTACAGCGATGTATTTTTGCATAGGTATTTTTATATTCACGTTTTGTAAAATCAAAAATAATCGAAATTACTTGTATATCTTTGGTTGATCATACATTTGATTAACATGTTGTACTTAAGAGAAACGCTTTGTTTGTACAATACATATCCGTGAAACCAAGCGTCGAGCGAGCGAGATCAATCTCGACAATATTATTATACGTTCGTATGGTCGTTTCAAGACCGAAATTCATGCGTCCATTATGTCGCGCCAGTTTACTGAGTGAGCAACTGCGGTGATTTAATGTTATCAAAAAGTACGACTGACGGATAATATCGTCGACAGTCGTGGCGCCGACATTAAACGAGAAAAATTTCGAAATTCTCATTGCACGGATTCAATCCGTTTTCAGTTACTCGCACGGAATAAGAAAACGTTCGTGTACCACCACACCTCTGGAAAACGATTCGATTGGTAAAAGCATCTCAATATATTTCGAGAAGCCTGATATCTCCCTTCGTCTCTCCCTCTATCAATCTCTCTCTCTCTCTCTCTCTCTCTCTCTTTCTCTCTCTCTCTCTCAGCCTTCGGCCGTAATTTATATCGATCACATAATTTCCGGTGTTCGGCACGTAGGCGAAATCGGTACTTTCCTGCCGACGAGCGATGCATTTTGCAACAGCGAGATGCTGCGAGGAGGCGAGGAGCGTTTTGCCAAATGAGATGTATCAACGAGCAGGTGCATAAACTTATCGCGAAAGTATAATAAAGAACAGTAAGCGTCTGACAGAATTACCTAATTCAAGAATAGTTAATTCAAGAATACTTAATTCGAGATAGGTGAAACTTTTGTGAAAAAATTTACTGTCGTTACTAACTGCATTTTAATAACACACCTGTTACTAATTATATCTGATGACAGACTTTTAACTCATTGGAATAATTAGGATTTTGAAAGCATCGCATTTGAAACCAGCATTTTTACAAGATGCGGTCTTTTATTATAAAAATAAAGAGACAGAATGATGTAAGAAAGTACAATATTTAAAATAAATATCTAAATTAAAAAATAAAATAATAGTTTTTATATTTCTGTATGACAAATTTTGAATAATTTTCACTGATTTTGTGATAAAATACTGAGGGGGATAAAAGATTTTTAGCACATAAACAACGGAGACAGATTTTAAATTTTACGAAGAAATGAGATATTGAACGGTGAAAGTATCGCTCAAGGATCCACAATAACGCTAAATTATCGTAAACGGACGGATGTGTAACAAGCGAGTTAAAACGGATATGATTGCGGCTCTCATTGTCGGTCATTTAAATCGTGTTTTGGTTTCTGCGATCGTGTGGGCAGGGGGCGATTTCATGCATTCAGAAGGCTCCGAGGGAACAGTTACGCTGCAGTTACTCTCAATTGCATTCAAGGCGCAAATGTTGTACAGTATACCGCAAAACCTTTCTGCCGTTTCTCGATCGCGGGGGACAGCAAACTTTCAAACGATTCCTTTCCGATCCTCCGCGGCGATCGTCCGTGGCGTCCAAGGACGAGGTATCGATTTGCATTCGCGTTTAAATCATCGGTGTCGGTGTGTTAGCGAATGCATAAGTCAACCGTGATGTCGCATACCTTTTTTGCAATTCATAGAACCAAAATGTGATCAAGTAATATTGATGAATATGAATATAATGAATACACTAATATCGATGAATCTAATATAAATATATGAAATGTAAATAAAATAACGAAACCTTTTGAATAATTCCAGGCGGAACTTTAATCTAAACCTTGACCACAAAATTTATGTCACACCACTTAAAGTTGCTAATTAAAAACTTGTGAAATAAGCAGATAATCACGTCGAGTTTTCATTAAGAGTGAATAAAAATCAAATTAATAAAATGGCATAACCTTTACGACATTTTTGATGCGCGTATAAATGAAAAATTGTGTGTGTCATATACGTGTTGGAAAAATTGTATGAGAAACATGACTAGACTATAGAAAAAGTGCCGCACAAAATTTTTCGCGTTTCGCTCGAAAAATTTCACAAAGGGATTTGCGAAACTACATCCCTTTCCAATTTCACAGCTGCTCAAATACATACATCGCGTGCTCGATTCTACAAACGCGGCACAATTCTGGGTCAATTTGTTCCTCGGTTTTTTGTATTAAAATATATCGGCTATTGGCAGCGATTCGCGCGAGTTCTCCATCCGCGTGCGACTGCCCTCGAATCTCGCGCAGTGAAAACGGAAGTGTACTGCGTAACAGCGCGCCGCGTGTTCTCGCTAACGTTCGAGCGTCGAGTCTCTTTCGCCGCGCCGCGGGACTCTCTCGCGCTCCTTTACGCGACACGCGTACGCTATTTTCGTGTTCCTTTTTCTTCTTTTTTTCGCGTGCACGAAGCGCATTTCGCAATCATCGCGTCGCCGTCATCGTCGATGTGCGCCGTAAAGGGAGAGTTCGAGATCGTCCTTCGATTGCAGGAAGTCGGCGCGATCTTGATCGATGGAATCTCGATCTTCACACGGTGAACGATCTCTCGCTGATTGTCCGTTTGGACACCGACAGTTCGCAATCCGTACTCGTGCGACGGGCTCGCGTGTCGACCGCGAGTTTCGCGAACAACGAGCGGACATTTTAATGATAAAAAAAGTCCGGAGATACTCGGATGCATTCTAATGATATATATAAACGTGATTTAATTCGCGTATTTATTACTTATCGCAGATGAATCGCGTCATTGGATTTTCCCGTTTTTTCACGCACTTATTCAACGAAACGATTGCTCGTGGCAATTAATCGTAATTTTAGTCAAATCTAATGTCAATCTATAAGTCTTTCGCACGGATTCTACACATAATAATAATAAGTTTAATATTGCATTAAAGCGTTCGCATGTATTGCAGCAAAATTTTATATTCTATCGAGATTGTAGTTTGACTTCGGCGAAAACTGCTTTATTACAGGCGATGCCTCGGCGCAACTTGGCCGCCCGCCAAGAGATTTCGATCTAACGAAACCCTCCCGGCCACCTTCGAACGCGGAACAATCCTTATCGAGTTTCCGCTTGCCAAGAGGATCATGCAACTTTCCACGTCTATAAAACTTTGCCCGCGTTACGCCTGGAAATGTGCGCGAATAAGTCCGCGGACTCCGCAGCTCGCGAGCGGGTACATCGTAAAAGAGACGGGAACGTTTCTAACATAAATTATCACGTTAGAATAAAACTGTTGCCGCCCGATGCTTTTTGTCATTTTATGTAACTCTTTAACGCGAGTGCGATTTCGTAACCGCGAGGGGAACACGGGCGCGCGTTTCCAAGCCAAGTGCGTATATGTTATTTCGCTCCTTTCGCGGTAACAAATGACGGGGCTTCGCGCCTCTCGCGAATTTTTTATTTTTTTGCATGGCCCCGAGTTTATTATCTGGCCTTTCGACACGCGCCGGAATTTAATCGCTCGAGATATCTTGCGGAGTCAGCGAAGGTCGATATCGGAAATTTTCGGAATAATTTGTAAATTCTAATGAAATAAACATCCTTATATATATATATATATATATATATATATATATATTCAAATATATATATATATATATATATTTGAAAACTGATCGATCTCGACCGGCCGGTTGTTTTCGTAACGTATGAAAATGGCGTTCTTCATATTATATTTGTTACTACATGGTTAACGCTCGTGGTCTTTTAACGAATATGGAAATCATATTACACGTTTCATATCGCGCGCGTATTACTGCAAGAACTTTTACCCACGTAACCGGGCAGAGATTATATAAATATAAATCGATGTGTGTAATATCAATACGGTATACGTACTGATTATAAACGCCCGTGTTTTTGCAGTTTCGCCCAGTTTTGCACCAGCTCGATTACGTATGTTCCGCCGTTCCGCGAACTGAGATCCACGTCTCGCTTTCCGTAAATGGTTATCGATACGCTTGTAATTATTATCTGCATTATATCGGGAAGGGGGACACTATCTCTCGTCTTGAATTAAATAAAAAATTGTAGAAACGCGACGCCGTCGCGCGCAATAATGTCGAGAGGACAAAATGTCCGGCTGTGTGTGGCGGCACCGGCCGCACCGCACCGCGCCGGCGAAATTGCAGAACCGGACGAAGATTTCCCTCTCGTTGACCCAGATAACGTCCGCCGCAGTTCGTCCGTCGAGCAGACGGCGATCGAAATCCGATCGGCGAAGTGATCGGTGATATAATGCCCAGCCACGCGCGAGGCCCACACTCAATGAAATTCAATGTGGATCAGTCGCGCGGATAATGATGAGGATTGTTTGGCTTTGGCCGTGCGGCGAGCAAGTGCGGGCTTCGAGTTCTCCGCTTAATAAAAAAAAGCGCCGCGTGTCTCGCTATACGGCGTAGGCCGATGCGATCTTAACAATAAGCGTCATTACCGTGGCGCACGCATCTTGCAACACCCGCCCGGGGATCACGATCGCGCTCGCGTGCATAACGTGCGCCCCGTAATCAACGACGCAAAACCGCAAATCCCCCCGGCGCCGAACGTATATGTACATACGTTTCGCGCGCCGCGCGAAACCTCGCGATGCCGCGTAAACACAGAAAGACGCTACCGCGGCGTGAAAAACGATCGCTTAGCCTTACCACCTTTCTCGAGGCAGTCAGCTGTATTATTGCGCGTTATATCACTGTGTGTACATTGCCTATATTTAATTTTGCGATTTATTCAACTGATCGCGAGCGCGCTTTAGGTGCGCGTTCTTATTATTCCCAGCACGAGACGTATATACAACATATATAGTTTCTTTAGGAAAGCATTTAACGACCTAAAAATAATCAAAATAAAGAAATCCTTCCTTTACATTTGATTTTCGTATATCTCGAATCGCGTGTCACTAATATCTAGAAGAAAAAATTTTACTGCAAAAGGAAATAAAATATATATTACAAAAATTAATAATGTATATAAAAATATAAAAACTGTCATAAATCATCGTTTAAAATGTTTCAAAGTAAACTCCGATCTCTATCAATTTAGAATTGTTATTGGCTACTTTCTTTCTACAATTGCCAATGCTCGTTCTTCAATGAACTCAAGCCTCAGTAGTTAGCGTCCACATTGGCGAGCGATCATTTCTAAGATATTCACACGAGAACAAACATCGTAAAGACACGCAATTATAAATGTCGAAATCCGTCATAGAGATTTCATGCTCCATATTTCAAAGATAGTTACGTGAGAAGTATCGTAATGGATGCGATTGTGCAAGTGAATTAATGCGAAGTTCAACTGGACGCTCCTAGTGGCAGTATATAAAATCGTCGAACTACAGGCAACCTAGTCTGAAATAAACTATAATCAAATTGAAATAAAAAAAAACTATATTATTGAAGCATATTGAAATAAACTATAATTCTTGCACATAATTTTCGAAAAAGAATTATAGTTTATTTCAATAGGCCATCAACTCGTGGACTTTTTTAAATGATTCACCAAGGTGACGAATAAAAATTACGATGTCACGTTGCTTAACACGAGCGCGTTGTATAATTTTTTTTAAATATAGGAATTAATATTCCATCCGTTTCTAAATTAGGCGCGACGATCGGCAAAATACCAGCCGGACGACAAGGCGCGATGATCTTTCTTCGTTCTCTTTTCAGGAAGTCTCTGAATTTTGTATCCATCACGCGTGCATTAACTCTGCGTAAAAAGAATCCTAGCCTTGAATCTTAAGGAGATTCAAGGAGACAAAATGTCAAGACTCGGAATGAGGCATCGATCGAGTTCGCGGTCCCGCCTTGCTGTAAGATTCCGCGGATTCCTGACATTTTGAGATGGGAATCCGGCTCCGGTTGTACAGCCATCGCGCGGGTTAAGTCAAGAACGTCTCGTTTTTGGCAGCGTAGGCATAATTTAACAAGTTTTGAAAGCAAAATGGGCAATAAACGTAGCTACTTTTGGAAGTACCGTCTTTTTACGACGACATTTTCAGCGCATTTGCCGCGGTTACCTCAAAAATGAACAGGTCGAGAGTTGACGATTAATCATGTTTAACATTAAACTTTGCGAAATGAATTAAACAACACTGAAATGTAGTCATATTTATGCGACATGTGTAAGGCCAGTTTTAAATATCGCTTCTTGACACGTTGCAATCTTTTTAAAAAGTATTGCAAAACTTTTTAAAAGCTGTTCTGTGTATCGAGGAAAAGAGCAACGCAATTAAAGCAGCAGATAATACTGAAGTTGCAGTACCATTGAGCAGTTTCCTTCATCCTGCTTCCTTTCTCTCGATGTTGTGTCATTCTCCGTGATCTACATTTTTTTATTCGACCTAGATTACACGACAGTTTTTCAATTTAGAGGTAATCTTTAGTCTTCTTAAAACACATTTTAAAACGCAGTGCCTGACGCGAACATTTTAACGCAATGCTTCTGACGTTCCTCAAATATCCATTATCTTATCCCAAATGCGTGTCACGTAAATTAAAAATTTATGTGTCGATATCTTTTCTTTTTTTTTTTTTTCTTCAATTAACATTCGCCGGCGTCATCGGGTACTCAAACGAGTTGTCGAGTTACGTATTCACTTAATTGTGCATTTCATGGGGCTTTAATATATACTGTTTAACTGGTAAAGCGGTTCTTACGGTTTTTCTGCTTATGCTTCGCGCACCCGCGTCACGTTGCGCCTGCCCGGACGTCGAAATAATGGGGCACGAACTAGCGGCGCAGCTTTTTCAATTAATTTAAAAAAAAAAATACGACGCGATATGCAAGCGCGCGACGTGAGAAACGCCCGTCCTTTCGAGTGTCTCGAGCGTTTCCGTTTTGCGAGCGCGAGGGCGGCTCGGCAAAGCCGCAGTCGCCCGATCGCGATCGATCTCATGGTGTTCGCTCTGTCTGTCGTACCGTAAAGAAACGCGCGCCGTTGCGAAACGTACACGGAGCGCACGTTGATTAAATGCCGATTATTAAAAGAGATGCGAGCCTTTACCGGCTGCACGTCCGCTTTTCGTACACGCGCGCGGCGGATTTGCGCAAGACGTGGCGTAAAAAATGAACGCGGAGACGCTTCCCGCGGCATCGTCCGGTTTAAGTGCATGATAATTTAATGGATCTCTTTGCGAGTCTCACCCCAAGATCCTGCCGGCCTCGGGCTTTCTGTAGAAGTCGCATCTGTGCAGCGGCCTGTTCGGATTGTCGATTCCGTATCTCTGTCCCGCGGCCTGGCACAGCGCGCGATACAGCTGGAACTGGAGGACCCCGGCCACGAAATTCCTGTAAAATATGGGAGAAAGCTAATTAAGCTTATATCATACCTCTCACGCATATCTTGACACACTTAATGAAGCGTTGAATCAGTCTTGTATATATTCACGCGAGAAGAAATATTACAGCGTGGGGGCAATCACGCGGAGAGCATAAAATATCGCGGTAATGCGAAAAGTTGACGATCGTTCGTTAAACCAACGAGCCTCTTTCTGTCGTACTTATTTAATTAACTGGGCTTTATGATTCGCAATATTGAGAGATATTACCATGGCTTGAAAAATATTAGCAGAACGCGAAAGGGTACACGGAAAGAACAATTTTGCTGAGTCCAGATATGAAAATGATTTTTGTTCAATAATTAAAATAATTTTGTGCAAAAGTCAAAGTGATTGCTAGAATATCAAAACGTTTTATAGCAGTGCTTATCAGTTTTAACATTCTAACAAATTATTTTGATGATTCAACAAAAAATTATTTTCAGATCTGTTTTTAGCAAAATTTTTAGATCTTTCAACGAAATCGTTCTTTCCGTGTAGAAGAGAAATTCGACGTTTCGAAAATCATGTAAGTTTGATAATGATTATAAAATTTATTTTTAAAATACTATATTTTTGTATAAATTAATTATATATGTTTTTCGCATTTTATAAAGTTTTTAGAGAGAGGGAAATTATATCGAGCGACTTATTTATTCATGACTGGTCTAGAATCAGGTCGAAGCGGCTCTAAAGGTAGACGATGCGCTAGTCACGTCCGAATTGTCAATTTTCGCGAACCTTGAAGAAGCCGCTTTCAAGGCCAGTGTCAATAAGGTCGGCGGGGTTATGGAGAATCTCGATTTCTATGGACCTAGTAATATGACGGTAAAGACAGTACTCTCTCGCCTTCATCGAGCGCCGTTGAGATCGGCGTTCATGCTGTCAGGTAGATGAGACTGTGAGAGAAAGAAAGAGAGAGAAAGGAGACGCGCTCAATAAACCGGTAAGCATGCCGCCGTTTCACTCTCAGAGAGAGACTCTTCATCGGCAACGACCTTTACGTAATACCGTCCAGGCGATCCGCCCGGGGGACCGCGCGGCTCGGAATTACGGTCGTTATTCCGACACTTCCACTTTCCACGGTTCTCTCGCTCGCTGACCGGGTCTCCCGCCGTTTGAAAATAACGTGCCGAAAATGTCGTAACGCGCGTTACGTCCGTACGTATATCTATATATTGCGGTTGCCAGTGCGTACGTGAAATCATCGACGAAATTAATGAAAGTCCGTAATAAGTATTTTCCAGGCTAAACGCATTTCAGGAAGGAAGGCGCAGCCTATAAACCACCCACGCGGCCTATCCCGGATTTCATTGCTGTAACATTGGGAAACTTTGCACGGCAATCGATTTTATAATTGATCAACGCGGCGTATAAATAGCCGCGCGTCTATTAATTATGATACTTTTGATTACGGCGATTATTATTGCGCATCAATTTGCGCTTTCGGTACGGACGCACGAAGTTACGTGCGCGAGAATTGATTACCGTAAAGCGGCAGAATTCGAAATGCAGAGGATAGTCCCGGTCGGGCACTGGAATGTAAAATTCGACATAAATTTTTTGGCGTTACGAAATTCGTCGCGGGAAGGCAGATACCTGATTTCGCAGTTGCGGCTGTTTTTTATACTGGCAAATTTTATCGATTAACTTCTCTTAGTCCGCCCACACTTCACGGGTGGGCGAGCGCATCTGAGTAGCGTCGCGGGAAAGTCAAAGCGAGGCGTCGCGTCGTATCGGTATTCAAGGGGAAAGGACCGTCTCGCGAAGAAACGCGATTAAAATTGGGTTATATGGCTGAACGGTGCCATGGAATGGAGACGGAGACCTTCGCCCTGAATGACAGGCGTCGTCGGGCAGCCTTGAGCATTTTGATGCACTTTTTTTTCAGTGAGAAAACGGTAGCCTTACGACGAGAAACTTCATTAAAATCGGAGATACGCTTCTCGTTAGCATAATTAATAGCCAGAAGGACAGGAGTGAATGTGATGAAATCGAAACAGAAAATGCGCAGATGTGAAATTCAGACGGTGAAAGAAAATATGCAGTAAGAATATTTTCGTATAAAAATCTCCTTTAATTCTATATCCTGCAATAATACGCCTTAATTTATTTCTTTGGTAAAATAAATGCATTTTATTTGAAAGTTTACTCGAGTGTCGATTTACTTTCTCTCATTTCAATTTAAATTCTACTGCCTTTTCTAATTTACAGAAAATCAGTCGTTTAATTCTGTGTCAGATTATGAAATCACTTTCGAGGGCTTTTGCCTCGCGGTCCGACCCCGTCATTGTTACATGACGAATTGAAGCGCGCGAAATTGTATCTCTTGATAGAAAAAGGAATCTCTTTTCCTCTTCCTCCATTCCGCATTGCGGAACACACGTCGCTTTCGCCCGTGAAAAAAACAACTTGCGAACCCCCATGCGCCGTGGATTTCCGCGGAGTAACTCTGCCGCACGGTGTCATTTGCTGGGTGGAGTTGATATAATACCACACGGTCGTCGTCGCGGGTAAGGTGATCACGTCCCGTGGATAATGCGCCGGTAAACATCGACATACTTGGCCGCGTGCGAGACGGAGGAGGAGGAGGAGGAAAACGGAACTTTACCAGGCCGATCGGCCGACCGCGCTGGAGCGGAGATCGTGACGCGGATCCGCGACGTGTCCCACGAAAGGGAGCAAATGGGTGCACCCACGAGATCGGCGGGAGATAAATTCTATAGCGAGGTGCCGCACGCTGTCTGTATGCGTCCGTATACATGTATGTACGTGCTATTACGTGGCGCCGTTACGAGGCGTTGAGCACCGCGCGCACCGCGGCCGAGGTGAGGACGAAAACGGAACGGTAATGGCGAAAGGGAGAGGATGGATGGATGACGTTGATCCGCGCGCGATTCGCGTGACCGTTGCAGTTGATCGCCACGAAAAATGACGTATTGAACGGCACGTAGCTGAAACGTTATGCGTTACGTTGCGTCAGTGCGATCGGCGTGCGACAGGTTTAGCCGGGAAAGACATTAGAAAATGAAAGGAAATTCTGTGTAATTCGAGAAACTGCTCTAGCTTTTAGCCGTCAATTGTCGAGTTAAATGTAAATCACGTTTTCCATTGCGACTGAAATTAACTTACAAAAAAAAAACGTTTATTCAAAGAATATACGTATTTTTTTTACGAGCTACTTTGTTAATAACATATAACGAATTAAGACTTTACTATCTGACGTCGAATCACGTCCGTCACATAAATCTGTCGTCACATAAACATGACTGAAATAATAAAGCAGAAGGAGTAACGTTTCTGCAGCTCCATCAAAGTATTCTACTATTCGGAAGCGACAATGGAAAGCGGAAAATTTACAATGTTGGAGACACATGGAGAAGAGACGTAACGCTGGAATGCGAATTATGCATTCTTGCCGGAGAACACAGAATTGTAGGAAAAGGATAGGGAATTAGTATAATTTGCTGACAGAAAAACTAGGTTGGCATATGTCAATGTCCTACTCGTATGTAACTTGTATAAGTAGCAATTTATCGTAGATCGCGACGATTAAGTGAGTGTCGAAAGAAAGATATATCAATGAAAAAAATTTATTCAGAATATACAATTCTCCCTACGGTGTTCGATCGGACACTAAACAATGCATAGTTCACGGTAATAAAATACCGAGTTTCGCAAAGCGCGCAATCTTCGATTGCGCATTTCGATGGTTGCGATTCAATCCCCCGGAAGGGTTTTGCCGATTTCCGTTCCAGTCGCGAGGTATTTCTACTTCGAGGAACTGCGACACGTATAATAGTAAAAGAGTTTAAAACTCGATTCGAGCGCACTTTAACCGCATTGCGAAACGGGGTGATCCCTGGATAAGGAAATTAACGAAACGTCATCAGGTCTGCGTCAGATGTTAACACCAAAATCGATAAAAACTGGACTTTTAAACGAAAAATTTCATTTAACTCGTATTGACGTATAAATCTCTCGCGCCAGAGACGTAGACGCCAACGGGCACGATGACAGTTTCGACGAGAGCTTGCTGGGCGTGATGCGTGTCGTTTCTACCCGATATATCCTGTATCGGCTGACAGATTTGTCGGCAAATCGTGACCCGTCCAGGCCGGGCTCTCGGGCGAACGTTACGTGCGAAGAGGCGAGTTTTAACGTACTGGGTTAATCTGGGCGTTCGCCCGAACTGGGAAGGCACGCGGACACGATCGATGTCCCGTCGGCAGCTTCCGACACCAAGGGGAGTCCGCGACGGTAACGATCGGTATGTCCGTCGTTCCTCAGAGAAAGTATCATATAAAACCAAAGCGCACAGGCCAAGGTATCGGCGAAGACATGCGACGAAGAGGAGAAAAAAAAAGAAGCCAGGCATCGCGAGCACGGGCACTCGACGAGAAAGAGGAAGAGGAACGAGACCCCGTTCGTTGAAGAAGGAGAGGAGCGTTTCTTCGCGGCTCGCGTATTTGTTGGGGGAGGGGGAGTGGGGCGTCTGTCCCAAAGGGGAGTGGTGGTCGCTCGGGACGGTGGGACCGTCGTCGCCGTAGCTGAACAAAGAGGTGTAACGTGGGGGTATACGACTTGGGGCCCCGGACCCGACGGGCCCCCGGGTGGCGAAGGCGAAAGTGTGCCGCGTATATAAGGCCAGGAATCGACGGCAATCAGCATCCAGTTCACTCCTGGACGCACCCGGAACATCGTGAGAGCAAAAATGAGAATCCTGGTACGTCCACACGCCGTAGTTGATTTCGCGCGTTCGATACTTCTCGTTGTCCTGGTGTCGCGTCGTCGTCGTCGTCGGAGAAAGACTCGTCGAGAAACTCGTCGTCCGAGAAGCCTCGTGCATCGAGGAGGCCCGCGGTAGATAGCGAATCATCGGCGAGAAGTGAACGAGACGACGGAGAATCTCGGGATTAATCGGGGGTGTGAATCGTTTGAGGGAGACTGAGCGCGTGCATCTTCGTCGCGATAGATTCGGATCATTCGTTAAGGGATTCCGCGAAAAAGTTGCTCGAGAAGTGTTTTTTTTTTTTTGAACGGACATTTCAAATTTTTTTTTACCAATGTCGACGGTTACGCGATTTTCGAAGCAGTTTCACTTTATTGCAAAGTGAATGAATCTTTAGTATTCAGTATTCAGTATTCAATATATTTTTATCGCAAAATTATATTTCTATTTATTTTTAAACTTTTATTAAAATTTCAAAAGAATATATTGCATCGTGCGGTGATGTATCTGTGTACTTAATCCTTATGGATCGGAATAGATTTTTATTAAAACACGAAGATGATTATTTGTATTCATCTTGTATCATTTAGAATATAGATATGTCTTTGTAATAAATTCTTACGTTTCGCGACACGATCGGAGACACACGCGTGCATTATTGCATACATTATTAGTAGAAAGGCTCAATCTCGCGGATGTAATATTTTTAGTTCTTCAATGTGCGCGTCATTCAGTTAGAGATTGCGTTGACCGACCTCGAATGAATTGATAAATAACACTGACATTATTTTACATCGAGCGTAAAAGTAAATAACATTGTGATTTTTTTTTCAGCTTTACGTGGCAGTTGCCGCCCTCGCGGTTACGGCAGTACTGTCGGAGGAGACAGCGAAAGTCGAGAAATCGGTAGAGAAGACCGAGAAGAAACAAGAGAAGCGTGGTCTGCTAGGTCTCGGTTACGGTTACGGTTATGATGGCGGATATGATATTGGATCTGGTGGACACATCGGCCTTGATATAGGCGGTGGATATGGTGGATATGGTGGATATGGCGGATACGGCGGATACGGAGGATACATCGACGGTGGTCATGATCACCACCACGTCAAGACCGTGACCGTTGTGAAGAACGTCGCCGTGCCCTACCCCGTGGAGAAGCATGTGCCCTATCCGGTAGAGAAACCCGTACCGGTTCCCGTCAAAGTGCCCGTACCGCAGCCGTACCCAGTTGAGAAGCACGTGCCTTACCCGGTCAAGGTCCTCGTGAAGGTGCCCGTACATGTGCCCCAGCCGTACCCGGTGGAGAAGAAGGTTCCCTACCCGGTGCACGTACCGGTCGACCGTCCCGTCCCGGTCAAGGTCTACGTACCGCAGCCTTACCCCGTCGAGAAGCACATTCATGTACCGGTAAAAGTACCAGTGCCGCAGCCGTACCCTGTTGAGAAGCACGTGCCTTACCCGGTCAAGGTCCCAGTCCATATACCCCAGCCTTATCCAGTCGAGAAGCTCGTACCCTATCCCGTCAAAGTCCCAGTCGACCGTCCCATCCACGTGCCCGTGCCCAAGCCCTACCCCGTTCACATTGAGAAGCCCGTGCCTTACCCAGTCGAGAAGCCGGTACCCTACCCCGTGAAGGTTCCAGTTGACAGGCCGTACCCAGTCCCGGTCGAGAGGCCCGTGCCAGTCGCGGTCAAAGTACCAGTACCGCAACCGTACCCGGTCGAGAAGCCAGTACCTTACCCGGTCGAGAGACCCGTGCCGGTAGCAATCAAGATTCCAGTCGACAGGCCGTACCCCGTTCACATCGAGAAGCATGTGCCTTACCCCGTGGAGAAGCCCGTACCCGTACCCGTACATGTTAAAGTACCGGTGGCTGTGCCCATCCATCACGAGCCCATCCACCACGAGCCCATCCACCACGGCGGATACTACGGTGGTGGATACGAGGGTGGTGACTACGGTTACGGTCACCACTAATAATCGTTACCTCCCGGCTGGTTCTCCATTGTCGTCGTGCAAGAAACTTCATCGCGATGACGACGGATAGCCGTATGGACCTTGTCTTAGGTTACAAAGGTTACCGATCCGAAACGTTGCCGTGCGGCACAACGATATCTCCGCCACTTTGTACCTGGATCGGATTCGGGGACGATCTCTGGTAGACGATCGCGTACCGGGTCATCGTACCTTCGAATCCGATCGCAACGAGGACGCGGCACGGCGACGTGTGCCAGTTAGGAAGAACGAATGACCAGTAGGGATGTACTCGTCTTTAGCGATCTTCGCTCGAGAGCAACTCGCTTGTCTTACTTTTGTACCGATATTAGCAAAGTATATGTATTTTTTTACGGAAAACGAAATAAATATTAATGTAAAGTAGTTGTACATTAGTATGCTTTATGTAACCTATTCACTTTCCTTGAATTCACTCCTATATGTTTTCTTTTTTTTTTAATATTGATGAAAATAAAAAATTTATAAAAAAATAAGTTAAAAATTTATTTAATTTTTTCGACTTTTAATCAGAAGAAACTAAAAAGATTGTAAACGACATAAACAAAATAAATAAGGCTCACAATACTTATTTTGTGATACTGTATAAATATATACATATATACATATATACATATATATATATGTATATAATTTAATATATTATTTAAAGAATATATAAAAATTATAAATAAGAAAAGTGTCATTTATCAAGAAAAAACTTTAGGGGATTAACGTAAGTTTTTTTAAAAATATCTTAGGTTTTTGCTCTTTCCCCGCTCGTCATTGATAAATGTCATTGCATTCTATTGACAGCATGAAATTAAATGATAAGTTGTCGACCTAGTTTCCGGCACCAACGAGTTTCCGCCAAATCGATAACCTTGATCGTAACCCACTCTGTATTTCCAACTTAATTCTTTAAAAATAATCGCGTATATCAAAAGATATTTAAGAATATATTTTTTGAAAAAAAAAACTGATTTCCTACTCGAAAATATTTTTAATACCCGTATAATGATGAATGTTTTACTGAAAAGTTTCTACTTCTAAAAATATGAATAATGATTTATTTCTCCGTTAGATATTCTTTCTTTAGTATTCTAAATTACTAATAAAAGAATATTTACTTTATATTATATTATTGTTTTATTTTATTTATATTTATAAGTTTATCGATGTGCTTTAGAAGATATTAATTCAAAAGTTGATTTGCACAATAAAGCCTTAAGGAAAATGCATACGATATTTAATGTTTAATTAAATTCATTACTTCGACCTTCATTGTCTTATATTTCCCGAATTTCTCCAGGGGAACATGAAAGTCTGTTGTGAGTGAATTCCTACGGGAGTGCTCTACTTTCCCTCACAGAGAAGCTATCATTTTAATCCGGAAAATTAAATTAATGAAGCTAGAAATAAGCTTTCCCAAAGTTTGGAAGCGATCAATGAAAACTTATATCCGATTTAATTATGTAGAACATTATCCACGTATGCTACTCTCCGTGATTTTAATTGCCATCGATGCCATGACCTTTTCGGTTTTTTCGTAAAATTTTGAAAATGTTGCGAAATGTAGAATAATTTGCGATTTAATAAATTTACATGGTTTTTTTCATTTTTTATTACATATACCCTTGTAAGAAATTTATGCGAGCTCTTAATTTGAATATAAATCTGACAGAGAATCTCCTGAGACCTATAAAACGCGAAAGAAAAGAAGAGAAAATAGAAGGTGCTTCGCTTCATTTCGTTCGTATCGATTTACGATAAATTGGCGTGATGTGCATCGCGAAGGCGCAACGGAGCGAAGAAGCCCGAAAGGGCGCCGCGAGACGGTCGATCTTTGATTATTCCTCGATTATTCCGGCCTTCGTTACCCAATCCTGTAGCGTTTCGTTGCGGCAGAGGCCCCCCTGGCGCCGTTGCGGTGCCGTTGTCGAGGAGGTGAAGCCGATGCATCCGCGACTAATTTCTGCCACGACCCACTTCGGCCGGAGCGCGCGCGCGCGTTGGCTTTGCCACTTGACTCACGACTTGAAGCAACGACTTACGTGCTCGTCTCCGCGCAGCGAGCACGGGGAACGGTTACGCAATCGCGCCATTAGCGCACGCGACGCCGAGGCTGAAAGTAAGAGTCTCTCTCTCCCCTTCGCCATCGCCGTCGCGCCGAGAAAGATCGCGCGCGAAGTCTACTTCCCCTTTCGTCCGTTTTCCAAGTCCACTCGGAGTCCTTTCGCTTCCTCTATCTGTCCCGCCGCACCTCTTCGCCTTGACTCGCGCGGAACCGTTCCATCGAAGACAATTACGCGGAGCGCAAACGGCGTCACTGCCCTTCGTTAAAAAAAATTTTGCGCTCCGCGACAAAGATCTTAAGATCACGAACGCCGTAGCGTAACGTGAGAAGGCTGGTAGCTCGCCTAAATGTCAGAGCTTTGACGGACTTTAAATTATTCATGATTTAAGATTTTCTTCTTTTTACAGAAACTTGAAGAGCTTTTCTTCATTTTAATAAACATTTAACTTGACATTTAATCATAACAGAAGATTAAATTTCCGTTGTGATGAGTATGATATTTATGATTAAAAAAAAGACAGATCAGATTTCATATGTAATTATACTTATAAATTTTTCATAAAGAATTATAAAATGTAATTCAATAATTTGAATTAAGGGGATTTCATTTTTAAAATAAAATCGTATTATAGCCAAACTAATAATTTAAATTTCGTCATCATTATGTTTATCCTTCGTGGTTAGTAATTTTGTTGCGAAATTTTCTATCACCTAATTGCGTTAGAGTGAGAGGATCTCAAGCCAGTTATTTGACATTTGGTGTGATATTTGTTTCATCTTTAAAACGAGCTGTCCACGCACATTCGCAACGTTAAATGCCGCAATTAGAACCGAGAGCGCGATTTTCACATTCAAAAATATCCTGAATTTTTGAAGTTAATAAAACTTTTGAACGTAATAAGTCAAATTGATTTAAATAATAAGTTTTCATCCAGTTAAATTATATTTGATAGCGTCTTCCGACTTAAATATTAAATATTTTTATATAAGTCATTAGTCATTAATGTTAAAAAATTAATTTAAAGATAAATGCTTGACACATATTGAATGAATGTCTTCAGAGACAGTTTCACAGAAGAAACGGTGTTTCTCTGAACTGCTTTCGACGACGGTAACCGATAAAGCAGCTAGTTGCTTTCACATTTGCTGATACAATATGAAAAATATTTAACAATTTTAACATATTTTCTAAATTAAATTATTTTTTCATCAAATTATTCAGAATATTGAAGATATCGTTTCATATTTTGGATAGCTTATTCAAGATCTAATCTTTTAAAACTAGATAATAATTGATTAGTACTAAATTTGTTACACAAAAAGACGAATTATTAATTGCCTGAAAATTATTTTTGTTAAATATTTTTGTTTAATTATTATACTTTGAAAATATAATGAGAGAACTATTTTGTTTTCAACATTACATTATGATTTTAAAAAATTTTTCAATTCTGTGAAGCTATCATGTACAGATACTTAAAATTATTATGGCTTGTGAAGCTTATCTGGAATGTATATCGTGAGAAATAATATCGACTGTAGCTACTGCAGACAATGTTTAAGCGGCAATTCGTATTCGAGATTAATGTGCATTAAATTGTGAGAACGTGATCTACGATAAGCGAAAGCAATGACGCGAACGTATCATGATCTATTTTTGCTCTGGTTGATCGACATCTACATAGGGGAGTTTTATTGTAATTGCTGATCATGAACAATTTGTTATTTCAATCTAGGGTACCGACCTTATTATCAAAAATTGTGGTACAGTTTGAAGCAAAATAATATAGTTTTTCTTCTAGAAATAAGACGATATATCTATTATTAGTAATTGTAACTTATTGATTTTTTTACGTTTCTACCACAAATTATTTCATATATTTTGCATGATGTAATATTATGTAGATTTAAGTCTTTGTTATACAATTATTATATTATAATTATTGTGCAACAATAATTATACACAATTAGCAATAATTATCGCGTTCATTGTTTTAGAATTAAGCAGAGACATGAAAAGAATCAGAGGATTAAATAATAAATATAATTGAAGCACATCGTTATTTTTCCTCTGTGCTGCCTTCGCTGCCTCGCGATTTGCGCTATAGAAAGTACGTATCTAATAACGCAGTGATCTCGAGAGTGAAGGCAAAACCTATATATTAAAGATGTAGGAAAGTTTACGAGCGAATATGTAGTTCCGCCGTTATTAAGAAAGCATTAATTACGAAAGTAGATTTATACGTACGAAATTTATTTGCCTTAATCCGCGCAGAGATCACGTTTAGTAATGGACTTACGAATCATTGATTTACGAATCATCACAGACGTAGTAACTTATGAGAATCATCCTCTCGTTTTTTTTTCTAGTGAATAAATTGCCGACTTGCTAACGGCGAATGTTTCAGGCGTAAATTGAAAGACCTGCGAGTTTAAGCGTGGCATGTAAAACGGCCATAATTGAAAAGTACATTCAAATATAAATTATTACCACACGATTAGTCTCGCAAGACTGATTTCTCGACTAGACGGCCATCACACGTGCGAGACCGGAAAATTACTATTATTACAGGCGGTTGCTATGTCGACACGTGATTTAAAAAGCGTATCCCCAAGCGGAGACCCCCTCCAATAAATTTATTCTTATTATGTTTGTATTTGCGCGCGCTAATGCGCTTCTTCCTTCATTTTATCGCTTGATGAATCTCACATTTATGTCATAATCTAGATATCCGGAAGCGTGAAGTGCGCGCACCTTCAAAGAAGCGCACCGCTCGCGCTTCCGCTCTCGAGACTTCCTCGTCCACGAGACGAATACAATGAATTCCCGCGAAGGTGCTCTTTCCAGCGAATCTCAGTGACATTGTCATCGTGCGAAAAAAAACGTCGAACTGCAGTCCCGCGGTAAAACTGGCGATTTGAAAGGCTTCTCATCGTGCCGCGTTTCTCCCGCGGTCTTGTGCACCTTCGACAGAAGAAGATCTCGTCCGATCGGCCAAAAACTCTCTCCGTTTTCGCGATCCATCGTGAAGAATTCGCGAACGATGTTCGCGAAATCGAGGGTAATGACGTGTGCGACTGCACGACTAATTATCGCGATAATGCGCTTGCTTTCGAGCGTTAAATGTCTGAACATGCGAGCGCGTTGAGAGGCGATAATGAAGATCGGTGGTGATCCATCGAACCGCGGTTAGGATCGCGTGCCCATCGCGAAATCCGTAGCAAAACGACGTGCGCACGATGTGAAACAATGGGAGCATCATTTTCTCCTCGCGATGGTGTCGGAATAACCGCGTTACTCATATACGATATCGCATTAAAGTGCGATTTCATTTCGAATGTGTCACGCCGTTACCGTTGTTACCGCTTCTTTATCTTACGAATAAAAATCTGTACAAATACATAAAACTTTTTACAAGACAGAAGTGAATCTACATAATTGATCTGTGTTCTCTTTGCACGCGCGCGCTCAGATTATCGTCTCAGATAACGAGTCTAACGTATACTATAATCAACTTGAGCGATCCAATAAGTAATGTGAGAATCAAACGAGTTCACGCGTTGAAGGAAACGGTTTATATAATTTAATTAATATCTATATTAGATAATTCTCTCTCGCTCTCGAGTAAAGGTAAACCTGATTTGTAATTGTATAATAGAAATGTTTATGTAATTCAAAATTAATCGGCGTACGTTCACCGTGATGGCAAAGTTCACTTCGTTCCCTTTAACTTATGCGTTTGTCGCGAAATATTGCTCAATTATATGATTTTTGGGATAGTGCCGAAAGATCATTTTTACCGATCGCACTATGCGAACTTACTCGGCCTCCCTGCGCCCAGGTTTCCGTAATTCCAGGTAATCGTGTGAACGTGAAAAGGTCTTTGACACTTTTCACTTTCTGCGCAAGTACGGCGACTTATCTCGGCGAAGCGGCGATGCGTAGCGGGGAAGTTTAGTTTGTCGGATTTATGGTCGCATTTACGTTTTCAAATGACCGGTTATGTTTCCGGCAGTAAAGACATCGTCACGCATCGGAACAAGTAAAGTAACGTAAAGCTCTGCGATAAGGATCGTTGTTATGCAGTAAGGATATAAGCAATTGGTATTATTAAACATTTATTGCTTCTGTCAGATTTCTAGAAAGCCGTTTTTATTAGATTTAAAAAATCATATTTTTTAAATTTTATTCTTCTTTCTTTATTCACGTTTCTTATATAATAGATATACTTTTTATTAATATGATAAAAACAACAATAATTCAAGATCACGATCAAGAACCAGTTCGAGAAAACGTCGACATTCCGTAGAAGAAGTGAACGGGGTTTCTTATCACCGGAACAATAATGTCACTCCCTTTACGGACAAACGTATTGGAACCAGTATGTGCTGGTACTTTTCCAGATGACTCGTTGCGAAAAATTTTCACTCTCGTCGCGGGAGTATAATGAAACGCGAAAGTGATCCATCCCCTCTTGAAGAAGGCATCGCGTGTACAGCCTCTAGATCAGTAACACACCTCTGGCAGCCACATATATAAGATGGTAAAAGTATACGACTGATCTATTTACTGTTAACTCGAGCAACGTGCTCGAAGAGAGAAGAAATTGTTCCCAGAGAGAAGATCGTTCTATCATTTCGCTCAAGATGAGACACGGGGTACGTTTTCTTATGCTGTTAGGACATTCAGTGTTGTGAACAAGTGTTGAGTATTAAATTGTGTCGTTGTGTTTTTTCTTCCCAAATGATGTGTTCGTGTCAGATATGCAAAAATAAAATTTCATTGGAGTGCAACAGAGTGCATAATATAAAACAATTTCTATATAATAAATCCGTTTAATTATTTTTCTTTTTTCGAAATTTTGTGATATAACTTTCTATAAAAAGTACAGATTTATACATTAAGAGCTGTAGTTATGATAAAATAATTGATTATTTCAGAAAACAAAAAGCTTTTCAAAAATAAAATTAATCTCCTATTTTGGTTTCACTAAATTTTTCTGTCTTACAAAAATAATTGTAAATAAAATTAAACGTGAATATGCTTGATTGTTGCGAGCCTTCAAATTTAGTAGTATAATTTCTAGGAAAAATATAATTAATTTCTTTGATTTATTTAATAGAAATATATAGATTCAAATCTTTTCTAAAATAATCTATTTAATTTTTTACATACTTATTCATGATTTATAAATAGCGCAAGCCTGTTTGGAAGGTAAAACTTGTTGCCTTCAGGCTGCCAATATGAAATGCAAAATCTTTAAGTAGCTTTTATTTAATCTATGCTATAATGCGGAAGAAATTTGTGAAATCGCTTGGATTTTGCTGTTTGCAGGGACACGCGAGGCTTTTATTGCCACTCTTTATGGCAACTGCAATGAGTTTACCGATTCGCAACAGCTATGATAGACGCGTATACAAGTACGATCACTTCCCTGCAACACGATATGCTCGTCAAATTATGCCTTTCTATGTAAGGCAAAATAGAGCCAATTATATCGCAGAAGGAAATATACACAACACGAATGTAGTCAGAATCATACAAGAGGAGCCTAAAGATAGTCAATGTAAGTATCTCGACATGTTCAATAAAGCTTGCAATATAAAAATTATTACATTCTTTAAATTAATCGATATTGTAAAGAATATAATAAATCAGATTTATTAAACAAGATTAAATCTCACCCGAGAAATAATTGTTCAGTTTCAGGATCTCACGTTCAACATTTTAAACGCGAGCTTGAAGATGGATATGAAAAAAACCTCGGAGCTGAATTGGATAGCGGAGGACAAAACGTACACGATTATCACGTATTAGAGAGAGATAATGAACATAAAACTGTCATGATCATAAAGAAGATCGCGGTACCGTACCCTGTAGAAAAGACTATCCAATATCCTGTAATAAAAAAAATACTATATCCGATCAAAGTTCCGGTTCCGCAGCCGTACGCAATCGAAAAGAAAATACCGTATCCTGTGAAGGTCTTCGTCAAAGTTCCAATGAAAATTCCACGGCCGGTACCAGTCGTCAAGGAGGTTCCGTATCCGGTCCAAGTGCCGGTGGATCGTCCTGTTCCGGTCAAGGTGTACGTCCCGAAACCGTATCCCATTGAGAGAAAGATACATTATGAAGTGAAGATTCCAGTACTGCATCCGTTTCCCGTAGAGCGAAGAGTACCAGTACCGGTGAAGGTACCGGTACACGTATCTCAGCCATATCCGGTCGAGAAAATCATTCATTATCCTGTGAAGATCTTGGTGGACAAACCGATACCAGTTCCGGTATCGAAGCCATATCCGGTACCAATCGTAAAGCCGGTTCCGTATCACGTTGAGAAGCCGGTTCCGATTCCGGTCAAAGTAAAAGTGGAACGACCAGTGCCGGTTCCGGTGGACCATCCGGTGCCGGTCAAGGTAAATGTTCCGGTACCGGCGCCGTATTTGGTCGAAAAAAAGGTACCGTACGCCGTAGAGAAATTCGTACCTATACCGGTAAAGATACCGGTAGAGAGGCCCGTGCCGATTCACGTGAGCAAGCCAGTCGAGTACCACATCGAAAAACCCGTTCCCTATCCAGTTAAGATACCGGTCGCGGTGCCAATAGACGAGGGCACCAGTCACCGATAAATGCGAAGTATCAAAGATAATTAGATAATGATAATGCATAAATGACAATGTAGCTGTCAGAGGCTTCGTATTTCGATCATAACATCTTTCGAAGAGAAATAATCGAAAAAGAGAAAACAGAAGATTTTATACAGTGGCATTAAGTAGTGAATGAAGTAATGAATTCGTCATTGCTTTCTCTAAGGGGATATTTATTTACATTGTACGGAATTTTTACTCTTGAACGCATGTAAAGTATATGTAACGCCATCTTCGCAACATGTATTGTTACTGCACTCGGTACATATCGACCGAATCATAGTCTTTATCATATTATTATCATGAATTATTGTAATGTTGTTAGAATAAATAGTTGTTGTTGCGATTCTAATAAAAACTCCCCTAATCCCAAATTTCGAAAGTTCAATATGCTTCCGTTGAATTTAATATACTTTGAAAATTCTAATTCTTGTCTCTATAATTGCTGCCAACTAACAGCTTCAATGATTAACGAGTAAAAGAAGGTAATTGATCAGATAAGATAATAGAATGTAACTGGATACAATTAACTTCTTGCGATACATTCCGATCATTAAAGTCTCTTTCTGTCACAGCTTCAATATCGGTATCGTGTTCACTTTCGCTGCCTCGTAATTAGAACCGGAATGACATGTTGTAATTGACCTGTGCAAAATACAGTCAACCGACGATATTGGCCGTGATTGAGATTACGGAATGTCTGTTCTTTCCTGTAATGCTACAAAAAGCAATCGATTGCGCGTGGCACAAGTATTCGTAATACGTGACAACGTACGTCTTTTTATTAAATCCAATTTATTTTAATTAATCATCATCATAATTTAATTTACGAAATGTGCAATTGTCAATCGCGTAAGTTAATTAGTCACACGAGTTAGCAGTCGGGGTAATTGTTCGAAAATAATCGTGTTTCGATGGGATAATGCGGCGATGGGATAAACGGAGTGGCACGCGCGTTTATGTTACCTCGACTTGAATCTCGCCGCGCGAATGACAATGAAGCTCGCGACGGCCTTGTCTACAACGACATCAAACTTCTATCAAATATCAAGGTCGTACATCTCCTGCAGCTCACAATCACGAAATATTTAACGTATTATGAAATAATTGTACGCCAAATATTCTACTCCTTATACTTTAAAATAATTTCAACGTAAGTTATTATTGTTTAATATTACTAACAATAAATATTTACTGTAATTATTTTTCCTTTTAATGAAATTGAAATAATTTGATTACTCAATTAAAAATAAATATTAAAATTATTGTTTAAAGAATAAAATTTATCTTTGTTTTAATAAAAAAAGTATGTGTATAAATTATTTCATTATTATTATTTTCAAATTTTTATTCTGGAAATAAGTGAAATTGTATTTTAGATAAAGAATTTTAATTTTAAATAAGAAGTTGATTCTAAGAAATCCAAGAGATCAGATTAAATCGTAAAAGTGTCGTAAAAGTGCGGTGATTAATCTTTTATTTTCATCATATTAAAAACGCGAGAAATAAAAGAGTTTTCAGGTTGTGTTCCGAGACAAAGTTTATCTGAGTTTTTCGATTAAATCGCGACTGCAAATGACGTAACGAATATAAAATTGACTTTCAAGATTTAATTATTAATTCGTATCACGTTTCAAGATTGGTTTCAGTTGAGTTCTTTAGTAGAAACGCCACTTTAGATATGAACATAAGTGCGTAACTCGCATTAAGATTTACGACGTGAGCTATTTGCAATTTGATCTAAGCTTATTTCGATGGTAATAATAAGCGCATTATATTGTCTATTTATTAGAAAAACAATACCGTTTTCTATTAATATAAAACTTACATTATTTCTCGCTGTTTTGAGCGCAGGATCTAAATTTATCTTCCGCAACTTTCACTCCGGCGATCGCGATTTAATATATTGACAGGTACATTGCAGACGGAGAAAGACACTTCCAAATCTGTATCGTGTATCCCAAACTCTTCATTATTTCGCCGAACACTTCCAGGTGCGGAATAGAGTTGCAGTTAATGTACTTGCACGCGAGGCAATTTACGGTTATACGTTGCTCTTATATCACTTTATGCTTTTCTTTAAAGCATGTGGCGAGTGCAAACTTTACGAAATAAATGATTATAGTCGCGTAATAACTATCCAAAGCGGCGTATGTTACGATTTCACTCGGGCTCTTCCGCGTTGTAAAGATACTACTACGAGATCCGATGTACGTACGCCCGATGCATTATTATTATTAAAAATACGACGAACGAAAATACGAACGCATTAGCGCGATACGTTCTTTTGTATTGTTATAATATCGGTGCAAGATCAAATTAAAGGAAAGCGGAATAGAATAAACAGCGCGCCTTTCTGAAGCAGTCGGCGGGTGACGAAGAGGATTTTTCTTTTTCTCCAGCCATATTATATCTCCGGGAAATATCAGAAGAAAGTTTCGAGAAGCGCGTATAAATATAGGCAGTTAAGTGGTTAATACAACCGCCACCAAAGCGGGAAAGTGCAACTTCGGAGGCGGCAAGACGTGTGGAGAGCACTTTTACACCGGTTCGGTTTCAGTTTCACTGGTGTTACTAATCTGGGAAATTCGTTCGAGTTACTCAATTTGTTGTAGAAGAAAGTACCCGCGATCATATCGCCGCGAATCGTGTGATATGCGTAAACGCACGTTGTTTGTTCATAATAGAAAGAAAGATTGCGTTTATAATTGAGTTACTGCACGACAGTTTTGCGAACTAAAATTGTTGTTTACTTGCAAATAATACCGCGACAGTTAAATATATGGCAAATGTGCAAATTAAATATAAGATATTTATTCAAATTATGAAATTTTTTGTAAGGTTCATTTTTTATTGCCTTCCTTCTCCTCCCGTTAAATTTACTAATTAGCGGTTAATGCATCGAATGTTAATAAAAGAAAAAAGTACCGTAAGTCGTTACCGGAAGTTCATGCAGCGAAAGACGAGAAAAACGCCAGAAGATTAGTGCTTGTTGGAAAATATCGAATATTGTGGAAAAGTAAAAAACGATGCAAAAATCATTTGGTTTTACGATTCGACATAGAAAGTTTCATTGGTCACTCGTAAATAGCATCGCTAATCCGGCATTCTTCTCGCATAGATTAATGAACTAGAACGCGTCGTATGCATTTCGCCGTGTGTCAAATAATCTACTTTATAGGTCTTATTCTTTTATTAAATTTAACTTGTATTTTTATTTCTGTATTCAATCTCTCTAAAGAATTGCGTGTGTAAAGGTTTAATGTTAAAGCACAAGCTATTGTAGAAATGTTTTTTTGAATCGATAACTTTTATTGCAACTTGTATATTATTAAATAAAATATTTTATATGCGTTGTAAAAAGAAAGCAATTTTCGAAAGTATCGAAAGTAATTTCGATACTAATAGAGATAAACAAGATAAGCAAGAAATTCTGTGACTAGTCCGTATACAACAGTTGAGCGTGGCGCGAAAAATCTGTTTCGTGGAAACTTTTGCATTTTTCTCGAGGGGACGGGTCGTGATCGGTGATTCAAACTGCTTGTGTACGTTTTGTGTGCTGCCTCGGCTTTAAAGCAGGTAGTATGGTTCATTCTTAATAAATGAATGGCGCTCATAGCTACGCCACAAAACAATGATGATCGCTTAAGCGTGGATAATTGTCGAATAAGGTACTGCAAGGCTATAAAGGTCCAGCTGGTTGAACCGGCGAAAGTCGTCCACGGTGTATAAATAATAGTGGGATACCTTTCCGTTTAGATTCAGTATAGATTGATCTATCGTCTTGATCGCAAAGGCATCATGGGACATCAGGTACTTTAACTATCTCTATATCATAATATTAATTTTTCTTTTATAATAAATGTTTTTTTGTAATCTTTCTTTTAAAATTTAATAAAGTTTGTAATTTGTGGTATTATCCTATCCTATAAAATGAATTATCTAATGGTTAAAGAGCTAAATTTAAACGTTTAAATTTTATTTAAAAAATTAAAATTATTAGATTAGAAATAACCACAGTATATTAAGCATCTTAAAAAAAACTCTTTTCTATAATTTTATTAATTATTGATTAATAATTTTCTTTAAACAGCGGGAATGTCTAATAGCATTTCTGTGCCTCGGGATTGCTCTTACATCGTCGGCTAGTCGTAGAGAGGACCTTGAAAGGGCTGCTGAGCTCGCAGTAGAAAGGGCAGCCGAAAGGGCAGCCGAGAGGGCAGTGGAAAAGAATCTTGATAGTGGGAATACCACGACGGAATCCAAGCTTATTCGCGAGTCTTATTCCAATGTTAGAAAAGATCCGCAAAAGGAGAAGAAGGAAGACGACGATTACAGAGATAGTGGCGAGTTCGAATCGGTGGACGATGAATTCGAGCCAGAAGAAGACGCGGACGATTGGAGCAAATATTCACGAGAGCCAATATTCGCGTCTCGACGCACGAGAGACAAAGATTTTCCTGCATGGTCCAGCAAGATCGATGTCAAAGATACGGATATCTGGAGAAGATTCCCGAGAAGCGAATGGTCCGACGAGGACACGAGGGATGAACCGAACGAGAAGGTTGTGACCGTGGAAAAGAAAGTGCCTGTACCCGTGACGATTGAGAAGAAAATTCCGTACTCGGTCTACAAACACATTCCTTACGAGATCAAAGTGCCCGTGCCGCAGCCTTACACGGTGGAAAAGAGGGTGCCTTACCCGGTCAAGGTCTACGTGAATGTACCGGTCGAGGTGCCGGAGCCTTATCAAGTCGAGAAGCAAGTTCCTTACGAAGTGAAGGTCGACAATCCTGTGCCGTACAAAGTCGAGGTGCCAGTGCCGCAGCCGTTTACGATCGAGAAGAGGATTCCAGTCGAGGTAAAGGTACCGGTGCCGCAGCCGTACACCGTCGACAAGCCGGTGCCGTACGAAGTCAAAGTACCGGTCAAGATACCGACCCCGTACGAGGTCGAGAAGAAGGTACCAGTACCGGTGAAGGTCACCGTCGATCGGCCGTACGCGGTACCAGTGCCGAAACCGTATCCGGTGGAGGTCGCCAGACCGTATCCGGTAGAGGTGCCCAAACCGTATCCAGTGAGAATTAAAGTACCCGTGGAGAAACCGTATCTGGTGCCGGTCGAGAGGCCGGTTCCGGTGCCTGTCAAAGTGCCGCAGCCTCAGCCGTATACCGTGGAGAAACCTGTGCCGGTGGAAATAGTGAAACCGTATTCCGTCCCAATTAAAGTACCCGTGGACAAGCCTTACGAGGTGTACGAGACGAAGCCGATAATCGTCCCGGTGAAAAAGCCCTTCCCGTACGTCGTGCAAGTGCCGATACCCGTCAAGCTCGGTTGGAAGGATCGAAACATCAAGGAAGATCTGCTAGAGAGCGAAAGCACCGACACCAAATTACTGTGGCGACCGCAATGGTTAAATCGCGAATCATTCAATTGATAAAACCGCACATGTTTGTACTGTTCGCCGCAAGCAATTCATCATACTGACGCCGTGTACACGGATATTTTGCATGAAATCGTGACAAGTACATTTTATGTAATTTGAAAAGAGACTGAATGCCTGTAAAATATAAAAATTCAATTAACTAAATTGTATAAATTATAGTAAATCTATTACAAATTACAGTAATTGACAATTATAATAAAATTCTAAAAAATTTAAAGATATTTCAGCGCGATTAAAATAGATTTTAATTCATAACATGCAAACTACAATTTTGTCACGACACGTTGTTTTATTTAAGAATTTTTTTATTAACAAGATATAATAATATTTTTTATATTTCCGTCAATTATTGTACAGTATTTTACTAATGTAGCAGAAATATTCCATCGGTAAACAAACATTAATTTATCAACGTTAATGATAAAAAAGATCTGATCGATATGTTTAAGTAATTTTTTTACTAATATGCATATGTTATTATACACATTATATTTTTTATTTAGGAAATATAGTTAAATATTTGTTAGTTATATAGTGTGTGTGTGTGTGTAATTAGAATATCTATTTTTTTAAAAATGATATGCAATATTCGAGAAAGTTTAAGATCTCTAATTAATCATATCACTTCACTCAGTAAGTTGAAATTAACTAATTGTCTTTTTCGTTATGTAACACGAAACTCTCTAACAGACTTACGCAACAGGATGTGCGTATACATATATATATTTGCATTGATTTATATGAGTTTATTTAATTATTAATTATCATCTCCAATATGTATAAATAAAACCCGAAACATGACATGGCTCAAATCATTTTTTAAATTAATTTCCTGGTCACTTCCCTGTCTGCGCTCGATCAAAGGAGAGGAAGTGGGAAACGGTCGTAAAACTGTAGTAATAAAATCAAACTTTGTTTTTGTTATTGGGTATATCGCTAATTACAAAAAAAATGCAAACAACTCTACTAATCAATTCGCATGCATTGTTTTTGCTATGACACGTGCACTAAATTTTGCATTCCTGACTAACGACATAATTGAGAAAATAAAATCTTTTTGCTTGTTTGCTTCAACGTAATTAGAATAAGGAAACCTCGTGAATTTCGCGAGGCAAAATAAAAATAATTATCTTATTTTTATATTTTCACATATTTATATATAATAATTAACTTGTATATTTAATGTCAAGAGAGCTCTATGTGATTGAGCTTAATATAAAAAATTGTAATACTTTACAATATGTATATATTATATATTTTGTTTTGTTAAAGTTTAATGTAGCCTCTATAATTGCATTAAGCAGTGAAAATACAATTTCTGTTGGTATCATGGAGGATCTTAGTTGCTTTAATCTGTTCTAATTTTAGCCGACGTAATGTCTGCGCATTCACTTTTTTCTTCTTCAGCAATAATTAGTCTCGCTTACTTCTTTTCATTTTTTTTCGCTATGTAGCTATCGCTACAGATACGCATCCATCTTTGAATATCAAATTAAAAATTACAATTTCGAACACGACTGCGTTTTAAATAAATATAATATAAATATATAAGAGTAAAATAACTCTTATTTTTTATAATAATTTATTTTATTTGTCGCATTTTTCTTTTCAAATTTTTTTATTTACAAAATAATTATTATATTTTTTGCTAAACCTATTAATTCTCTCTGTATTTTCATTCTTTATTGAATGTCTCAATCATATTTTATGTCAGTTTTGCTCAAATCTACTTCATTTTCCTTTCTTCTTGCTTTCTTTTAATAAAACCTAATCTTCTCTTAATTTCTTTTGCTTTCTTTTATTAATACCTAATCTTCTTAGTATATTTTCTAATTGCTATAAGTAATTAAATTCGCTAAACATGTGAATGCTAACTAGCAATTATGCATAAAACGTCCGATATCATTTCGCATCAGATTTACTCGAATCCAATCTCAATTACGTTCATTATCACCGTATGCTTTCAGACGTTATCTCTCTCGTATTAGTGTCAAGTATTCTTTAAGTGTCTCCCAATTGGAGCAAGTCGTTGCGGGACAATTTGCCGCGCGGCGCTCCTAGGAAGCAGCGCATTAAACGCGGTCAATCTCACATCGGCGCGCAACGCGTTCTAGGATCTATATCTCCTTGCCCCGTTCCACCATCCTCTCACCGGACACTTTTCACTTTTTCTCTCCTCCTACCGTTCCCGATTCTTCCTCTCGCGCTCTCCCTCGGACCGCAGGAGGAGACCGTTATGCCTCCGCCGTCGTGTTCCTCGTCTCGGCCGAGAGAACTCGTGCATGCAGCCTACCGCGCGTCCTTCCGTGGGGACCGGATACGGAGGGGGTCACAGCGGAGTCCTGCCGGACGGTACGCACGAGCGAGAAACTTCCACGAGATGGATAACGACGGAGGGAGATTGGCTAGTTGAAAAGAGGAGGGTAATGATAGCAAAGGAGGAATGGAAACGCATCTCCAGTGACACCCAGTGGCGTAAATGGACAGGATCGAAAGGACAACAAAGCTTAAAAGATCCTTGGACTTGTGATAGAAGAATCTCGAGTCGACTTGGAGATCATATATCGTTATTTAGAGGAAGAGCGTAATGCAGCATTCTTTGGAGAATCTGAAGACAATATCTTCTTTGCAGACGTTAATTTCTTTCGGTAAAACGTTTACTCACTCGTACCAGAATTTCGCGAACATTATATGATCGTCGTAGAATTTTTTTATCTACTTTAAAACACGCCTCTTCTTACACTTTTTATTTATTTTGACTGACAGGTAGTTGTAAAACATTCTCATTTCCGACGAACGCGTACTTTCTAGTTTTGATTCTTTTCAACATTGCTGTTGGAGGAACTTCCGGTGTTCCGTAATTTTCCACCGTGGCTACGCCGTTGCCCGCGATTATGGAAGCGCTGTAGCTTGTGTCTAGGATTTATAAAAAAAAATGCCATAACGCGCCGTGTACGTCGGGCGAACGCCAGACGCGTGTGTTTCACTTTTCCGCGAGAGTGCAGAGGGGCTTGCTCGATACGCGTCGGGGGAAAGCGGGCTATAAAGACGGTGGCATCTTGGGGGGAAGCATTCAGTAAAGTCTGGACATTGACCAGATCGTGAGAGACTTTGGTAGACATGAGAATTTTGGTAAGTTCGCTCTCTCGTCGGGGCGAAATTAGTTGCATTTAGAGTCGCAAATTAGATTTGCTTAATCATCTTGCCTTCATCACTTCGAGCTTATGATTTCATTTCAAGAGTATGCATGTCACTGAATAACTGTGGGAAAAGTGTTAGTTTTTATACCAAATTATTTAAAAATTGCGATTTAAATTCAATCAATATTGCTCAACATTGCACAAAGGTAAATTTAATAAAGACGATTAAAGTATAAAAAGCAATTTGACTAAAATCTGGAGAGTCACAGGCTTCCGTATTTTATGTAATCTGCTGCACTTGTAAATTATACTATCGAGGCCATTAACAACTATATTTAACGCACGCATAGCATTCTTTCACGGTCCAAGGGATATAGCATTGATGCTGCAACAGTAAGCTACTGATGTAATCAGCGTGACGTTTCCATCGATTACAGTTTCTCACGGTGTTGCTGGCGGGGCTGCTGGCCTTGGCCGTATGTGAGAAGAAGAAGAAGGAGATTACGAGTAAGGAGATCGAAAATGTCGAACACGAGAAAAAACAGGATAAGCGCGGGCTGAGTCACATCGAGACAGGCCACATCGACTTTGGAGGACACGACGGCGGCGACGGTGGCGGCTTTGAAATTGGTCACGGTGATATCGGCGGCGGAGATTTTGGTGGTGGTCACGACATTGGCGGCGGTTATGAGGGCGGTTACGGTGGCGGCGGTGGCGGTGGCGGTGGCGACGACGGTGGCAAGATCAAGCAGATCACGATCGTGAAGACCGAGAAGGTGCCCTATCCGGTCGAGAAGAAGGTTCACTACCCGGTGGAAAAAGAAATACCGTATGCGGTTAAAGTGCCAGTACCCCAGCCCTATCCGGTCGAGAGGAAGATCCCGGTGCCGGTGAAGGTTTTGGTAAAAGTGCCGGTTCACATACCGCAGCCGTATCCGGTCGAGAAGAAGGTGCCCTATCCGGTTCACGTGCCGGTAGAGAGGCCGGTGCCCTACAAAGTATACATCCCCCAGCCGTATCCGGTCGAGAAGAAGATACCGTATCCAGTGAAAGTACCGGTACCGCAGCCGTTCCCAGTGGACAAGCCCGTGCCGTACACTGTGAAGGTCCCGGTGCATGTAGCGCAACCCTTCCCCGTGGAGAAGCCGGTACCGTACCCCGTGACAGTGCCCGTCGAACGACCGTACCCAGTACACGTGATTAAACCGTACCCGGTTCCAGTTGAGAAACCAGTACCCTATCCAGTCGAGAAGAAAGTACCCTACCCAGTCAAGGTTCATGTGGAGCGACCGGTAGGAGTGCCCGTAGAGAAACCAGTGCCCTATCACGTTAAGGTACCGGTACCGGCGCCGTATCCGGTGGAGAAGCCGGTGCCAGTACCGGTCGAGAAGCCGGTGCCCTACCCTGTAAAAGTGCCTGTCGAACGACCCGTGCCGGTTCACGTGACGAAGCCAGTGGCTGTTCATGTGCCCAAGCCGGTACCGTATCCCGTAAAAGTGCCGGTGGCGGTACCAGTGCACGAGCATGAGTCCGGAGGGGGTGATTACGGGGGTGATTACGGGGGTGGTTACGGAGGTGGTTACGGAGGTGGTTACGGAGGTGGTTACGAGTCCAGCTTCGGGGGTCACTCGGGATATTAATATCAAAACGCGTGGCAGTGGGGGATTTTCTGCTTCGACTCGAAAAGAAATTAACGAGAGAGGGAAGGAAGCGCGTTGAGATGAAATAAATAATAATCAAAGAAGAATTTGTTAATTCGACTCAACGCGATTTCGGTTCACAAGGTTGTATATAAAAGTATTAAAATGTACATATATATTCGTGGGAAAAACTAGAATTAGATCGTTGATTTGTATAAATTAAATTCGGAATAGAGACTGGGTATATAGAGGTCTATAGAGGGACCTAATTCTTGTAAATTCTCCACTGCATCGTACGAGCGGACGCGTCGGCGCATGACGGAATATCGCGGTAACATTTCTTCTACATTTTGTTTTTCAAACGCATTGCATCGAGGGGGAAATCATAGAGCAATGTGATTTACAACGCGGTCAACGGCTGATCTTTCATATACGGGAGCGTTAACGAAGCGTTTCCTCGGCACTCGCGAGTCTCGAATTTGTATACTCGTTCGAAGTGCGAGTCCGCGAGGAAAACGCGGACGTATTTATTTTCCTAACTTAACGCCGTTTTCGCTGCGGGGGGTCCGACGAGGAAGATGAGTCTGCAGAACAGCCGTTTTTGCGCCGCGAAGGATGATTATGGGTCTCCGAGTCTGCTTAGACAGCGCTAACGATTTCTTAGATATATAGTATCGACACCTTAAGTACCTACGAGAACACGTGTACTGTGTTTTTTACGACGTTCGGAACATGTAACGGACGTCTCTGTACGATGTCTTTCGCTTCTTTCTAATAAAACCAAAGAGCAAAACGACAGCCTTGGAATTCATCCTAGCCTCATTGCCATTCTCTAGAAGAGATCTGAAAACTTATTTTTATATGCTTGACCTTCTTCTCAATAAATCTTGCATACTAAGCAATTTAAGCGGCTCTTGTACTCCTTTCCCCTGCGAGCGAAATTGAATTGAGGTATCAAATTGATATTCCGCTCGGCTTGAATACGTCAGATTTCATTGGACGTTCATTGGAGATCGAGCAGCTGAGCGGCAAAGCATCGATTTATGCATTACGAGACAGATATTTTCCCCGGCGTTTCTTACGTCGCGGCGTCAATATCCTTGAACTTTGCGTAGCGTGACGAATTATTTATCTCCGATCGCGTGCATTCGAGTGATAGCGCACGGATATTCGCTCCGCGCGAGCGAGCGGTGTTTGATTGTGACCGAGACGCCGTTCCGGCTTCTTGTTCCGGCAGAGAGCCGGAAAAAGATATACGGGAGCCGGAGCGAAAGGCATTTTCGTAATTTCGGCCGCGCCGTCGGCACGCGCACGCGGAAATTTGCTCGATAATTAAGCTCGCTAAAAAATCTCTATGCGTAATTAAGCCCCCCCCCGTATACGGTCGATGGAATAGGACTTTCTTTTATCTAGCATGACTAACGAAGGAAAGAGCGCATACGTAACACTTCCGATTCGATGATATCAGCGTCCTGTTCTGCCTCGCGACCTATCATTCAGATCGTGCGAATCTCAGGCATTAGACCGACTCGCGTTCGTTCGCGCGTCGCGCTCGCTGGCTGCAAACGCGTGTAACGAGAGCCGAGCTGAGCCGAGCCGCGAGAGAAAGGCCTCCCGCGCCTCTCTTTCTCCTGATCTGCCAATGAGCAGATCACAAGAGGAGGAGCACGGGATCGCGAATCAAAAGTGAAATCGGCCGATCTCGTGCATGCGCGAGGCACGCGGCTACGCAGAATTGTTCGCAACGGGATTATCCGCTTCGGGCGTATTGGAAACTACATATGAAAGTACGTGGCAGGTGTTCTTTTATTGCCAAATCAGCAAGAATCGGAGACTTGTTGGAATAACAGCGTACCACGTGGAACGTACATGCTATGCAATTTATCAATCAGATAATATTAATGAAGGAGATATATTATTGTAAGATTTTTTTCCCCGTTATTAACAATATGTCATAATTTTCCCACGTATCTATAACTTTAATTACTTCGCTGTCGCAATCACCAAGGTCGTTGGCAGAGTTAGAGAAATAGAGATCTCAGATAATAATTTTTAACAACTACGCGAGATGTTAAAAAATCTACGATCCGTCGATTAGATGACGAATTAAGATGAACGTTTGAATGGAGGTACTCACCGTATGTAGGGAATATTGGCCGGGATGTGATACTTTGCGCCCGGATCGAAGTCGTCCTCGGAGCGCAGGACCGGCGGCTTCGTGCCCGTGTACTGCTCCTTCAGCCGGTGCCAGTGACAATTGTACTCCTCCTTGTTGACGTAGCCGCGGAAGACGTCCCACCGCCACCTGTCCATCGCGATGCTGAAGGGCAGCAGCACCAGTTTGTCCATCGCCAGGGAGAAGAGGTAGTTGATGTCCGCGGAGCGCTCGTCGATATACGTGTTCGCCAAGCCCAGAGTTTGCAGATGCTGCGGCGTCGCGACGCTCAAGGCGACGGCTTCGCCGACCGCCTCGTGGAAGCCTGATAATTATAGTAATAAGCTGCGGCATAAGGATATAATAACAAGGTAGAGAGCCGCGAAGATCACGTTTGTTCTCGTCGATAGTTATTGTTCAACTAACGTTTCGCTTGCAGTAGATTTTATAATAATAGTTATCAATGCGCCAATATGGATTATCTTTTTCTTACGCGTTGTTGTTGGATATTATGTTTACGACGTATTACGATTACGACAAGTTATCTTTACAGTCGAGTAGGTAATGAAAGGCCTTTATCCTATTCCGATAGCTATACGAACGCGAATAAATTATCGGCGCAATTTCAAGTTTTCGAGTTTCGTGGCGGACGTTTTGAAGGAGTTTGGCTGTTTGATAATCGAACGGTGAAAGTCGACGTCAGACGAAACAGATGGCTTGTCGCTTGAGTTCCGTCTACGATTATTGCAAAGTTTCTCGAGGTTCTCCGCGGATAACCCGGTGACTTTTTGCGCTTGATGCGATTTAGCGCTAACCAGGATGTAATTACGGTTAGCGCGGATTAGTCGAGCGTGGAAGATGATGCTGATTATTTCTCTCTTTTTTTTTCGACCACGTTTCCCCATGCAAACCGCGCACACGCCTAACGCCTCGCAAACGCACAATTAACAGTAGCGCGATTTCGTAACTTGGAATTAGCGCTAATTAGGCGTTGCACGATACACGAAAGTGCAGAATGCAGATGAAAATCTGCGATAAAAATTATTTGCAAATGTGCAGGAAAAAATTTATTGTCAAAGCGATGATTCTCTTCGAAATAATTCTGAATCGTCGCTCGCTGTAACGACGCAAAATCTCGAGCAGAAGCGTCGGAAACTGAAAGTCGAGACTTTACAAGATCGAGATTTTACGCTCGCAGATATTCAACGCGAAGCCGATATCGAAGTCGATCGGCAAGGCCACCGGCTGCGTAGCTGTTCTCGTTGATTCGAAACAATCTGTGTTCCGGAGCGCGAGGCGAACGACCGGGCCGGCCGGCCGGCCGTTGCTACGGTGAAAGCGTGATTATACCGTAATAAAAATATTTTAACGTGCGCCCGACGCCAATGTACGAGAGTAACATCCACTCGCCTATTCGCGAGTACCGTACGTAGCGCGCGGCGTACACCTCGAGCGTGTCGTACTCGCTCTCGCTTTCGCGCTATTAGCCGTAAGACGCACACAGGTCGGCTGTGCCTTCCGGAAGTCGGCCGGGAGTCGGACCCCGTCGCGCTTACGCAACGCGTTGTCGTGCGTCCGGCATACATGCCATCACCGGCCGTCTCCTTATCCTTTTGTCCTAGTCCGCGTTTTTTTTTCTTCCCGGCGTGTGACGCAATTTCTAATTATTGCACTTGCGCATTATGCGAATTATCAATGTCATTGAGAGCGGATGTTGTATCCCGCAAGCGTTTTAAAATTATCTTAATACTTTTATGATAACGCTAGAATATCATTTTGTATCCATTTATATGTATATTGCGGAAGACACCAAGACAGTAAAAAATCAAATTATAATTTTATTTTGATAAAAATTGAATTATTCCGCCACAAAAAATTTGTCTCTTATTTTTTGATTTTATCGTTTTATTCTTAATTTCCGTTTTGTTCGAATTTTTGCTATCTTTTGAGTGTCGTAAAATTTATAATAATAATTTATTAGATTTTAAATTTGTTAATTAAACCAGCAAACTTGAGCTTCAGTTTATACAATAATCGCGCGCAATTTTATTACATTATGATTTTATAAGATTTTGTTGTATTGTATGTTTATTTAATACGGTAATTATATAGAAAGTATATACACGGATTGAATACATTGGGATTAAAGATTCCGGATGTATTTACCTGGATTAGCGCCGTCGCGAAATTCACGAGGTAGACCGCTGTACCGCAAGAAATACTGAATGTGTGCCATCTCGTGATGTAAAGTTATTAAATCCTTCATCGTCACCTTTGTACACATTTTGATTCTAGACATCAAAATCACAGCATATTGAAAACTGTTGTTTTTGCTTTATAATATTAAAGTGTGTTTAACACATGCAAAAGTTTTAAATGCCTTTGAAAGACTTTTGAGGAGTAAAATTATTGATAAACGTATCAACCTGTAATCTATGCGATTGCAAAAGTCCCATGCGGACGCCTGGCAAATTAATGGGCGGTCGCCAGGATCGGCGATTACACTTCCGGCCCAGAATTCCGGCGGCAGTGCGCTCAAGTTCAAGGACAGATAGAATTCCTCGGCCACCCGAATCATGTCAATGGGTGTGTAGCCCTAATTACAATATAATATTAGTTATATGTAATATTTATCAATATTAATTAATTAAATTCTAAAAACAATATTCTTAAAAATTAGATACGATATAAAAGAAAAGGATGAGAGGAGAATCTTACTTGAGCCCGCATTTCCTGCGTGACGTCGGGGTATGTTTTACCTGGATACGGTAAAGTAACATCCAAAAGATTGGTCCAAGACTGTGCCCATATGTTACCTATAAACATTGAATAAAGAACGATATAATTGCAGCAAAACGAATAATTATGTTATATATAGCTAATTGATTAATAATAGTTAATTGTTAACAATAGACGTATGGTAAAATGTTCAAAATTTTAAAATAAATATTTCGAGATGTGTTACCGAGGATGTGAGACGGAAGAGGCGCGTGTCCGCCGATTTTTTCAGGACCATAGAGATCTCTCAGCTTTCTGCGAACATAAGCGTGCAGTTCTTCATAAAGCGGACGTATCGTTTCCCAAGCCTCGTCAACGTCCTGTTGGAAATTAGGTGATTCATAAGGGAACATCCAATATTCGGCGGCATCAGTGAAGTCTACAAAAAAGAAATCAGAGTGTAATATTAATTCTCAATGTACGAAGCAGCTTCCAGTTACGACTTAATTAACGCGCATGATTTCTACGTCGCATTCCATACGTATTAATTAAACCAAGTTAAAATAATCTTATCACTCGTTTCAGATTAAAAGTGTAAAAGATTCCTAACGATAAAAACTAAGTTCAACACTTAGGATCTTTTTGCAATCTTGTATGTAATGAAATTACATGCTGACCGACTTGGTCAGCATTGCAGATTCTATTTAACACGTCATACTTCCGGCACGAAGTTAAAATTAGACGTACTATTCATTCTTGCAGCATCATTGGTTAGCGTAACTAGTTGTTGATACAGATCCCTAATCGGTCTGCCACTTCGTCTTCTCCATTCGGTCCAGACGTACTGCAGTTCGTCCCAGTCCCGACTTCTCGCCATGATTTGCGATATATCTGTAATAAAAACCGCGGTACTAAAGTATATACTTTTCAGATGCGTCATGTGTCGTCCGTACAAGATATTTTATCAAATATCTCGCGAGTGATTTTTCATGTGCTAATCATGCAAATTTTTTTGAACGAATTTTAGGTCCACGGAAAATTCTCTGATGGATATAATGACGCTTTTTCCTTCATTTTGGAGAACAGATCAGTATTTTATTGAACGAAAATTAATATTAGACACAAAGCGACAGTGAGCAAATTTGTCAAAATTACTGGCAGAAACTGTTAATTTCTTCATTGAGTCACGTAAATTAAATTCCCTCGCCTTCGAAGCTCTGCCACAGCCAATTATCATTTCGTGGCACACGCTAGACACGAACAAGTAATTAAGTAATTCTTACATTAAACTATACCATACTGCGTAGCTTCGCTCAATTAATTAATTGTTCGCTTTCTATTTGTGCACGTTCTGCGATGCCGCGGGTCGTGTTCGCTTTGCGTCTAAATGGGCGTGCACCGGGATTTACATTAAACATAAGAATAACAGACAATTAGAGGCGCATACAGCGCGGCGCGGAGATTTTCATAAATTAAACGGAAAAAGAAGAAGAAGGACTCTCCCATTCCATCCCGGCAGGCATACGTGCGTTCGCGTGACGTATCCTATTTTCTTCACACTTTCATGCGCATTTTGAACTTACGTAAATCCCCTCTCCTCCCCTCTCCTCTCGCGGAATTTCGCCGCGACGAACCGTGAACGATGCCGGCGCGACGGCATCGTGCCGATCTGATCGTTATTCAGCGTAATTCGTGATGTATTACCTGGATATAAACGCAGCCCGCACCGGAACGGATCGTTGTAAGCGCATATGGTCGCCGCGTTATAAATCGCAAGCATGTCGTTGATTAGACGATTGTACTGCAAAAAGTATAATTTTATTATTGCTAACAGCATTTACTGTCACGCATGTGTTATTCGCTAAACTACAATATACTGCAAGTCGTATTGTATAAATAAAGCTGGCGTTTACCCTGTCTAGTTGATCAGGTGGCAGTGCTGAAGGGCCCACCGCGCCCAAATAACGGAGTCGTCGTCTGATGATGGGATTTCGAACGGAATTTATGTCGATTCTCGAGATTAAAAGCCATGCTTGGTATTGAAAGTCCGCGTACAAGCGTTGGGCATCCAGCTGAAAGTGTAAGGTGAAAATATTCAAAGGCAATTCTCATGCAAAATGAAAAAAATACTTTTTTTTTATTTGCTCACAGAGCGATAGATAAACGTTCCAATTATTATTTTAAAATGACAAAGATTATGTGTTGTTTTGCATTGAATTTCAATTGTATTAGCTGTGCAATTGTATTAATTAGCATAAACGCGTGCAATTGTATCAATTATCATAACATGCTAAGTACGTGACGTAAGAGAACTAATCTCTCGGCGACCGATTAGGAAACGCAATTGCAGTAAAACACGAATCGCGGCGAACGACGATGGTTTTACCGTTAGAGATAAAACCGTATCTATGCTCTTCCTGACAGTAACTTGCATTCAGAGAAAAGTGGCTAGGAAAGTGAAATTGTACTTCAGCCCTTGTGCTTATATGTGTTTAAACGCAATACGTTAGACGGATATTTATTAAAGTTAGAGATTACGCAATTGTTGCGTAATGTATTGCGTTTATAGAAAACTTGAAATTTATAACAATTTTTACGTGCGTCATACATTTGTCTTATATGAGAAACACCGCATGGTGCCACATAATACGCAAACGCAAATTCTAATTCTAGTTACGTGTTACGTGGCATATTTCTACGTACAATGACAGCATGCGTAAGGAATCAACTCGGAAATACATAACTTTTACTCATGTAATCACATAACTTTTGTCGTTTGATTACTATAATGAAAGAGCTCGTACGTGTCGACGCTGTCGAAAGGATTATAAAAATATACACACAATTAACACTGCTTTATAATTATTTGCTATTAATATAAAAATAAATTGGCTTATAAACAACCTCGATGATAAGTCATTAATCCCTCTCATGCGATAATGAGGCGATGATTCGCCGTAACATCGACGTTCTCTCCGCGGAAAAGGGAAACGGCGGTGGTGGGCGCCTCAATTATCGTTAACGACACGCGACGCGCGAGCCCCGCTGGGTTTCGCATTGAAAAGTACAAAACTCCCGTTTCCCGGCTATACGGGACGGCCGCCGGGCGTATTGCGTAATCGTCCAGGATGATTATCAACGACAATGGCATCGCCTGGGAAAATTTCCCGCGGAGGCGTTCGGCCTTTCGCGGACAATGCGAGCACGTCTCGTGCCAGGGAAAATCGCGACGAGCCAAGCGAGGTAGCGTCAGTGCGCAGGCGGTTCGTCAGTCGATTGACAAGTCAATGTATGCGGAGACGCCACGGAGAGTCGTGCGCGGGAAGATACGCGAGAGGAGGTCGAGGTCCCCCCGCGCGAAGACGCTTCGTACGGGGTGGATGAGAAATATATACGCGATTGTACCGCGTATCATTTTCCACGGTTGTCACCGCACTTTGTTATAGCGTTGAAATCGCCCAGCCTTTCTATATACTTTTGCCTTTGCCATGCAGAATTGCATCTCCGCACGCTCTTCCTGAATAATTTGCTTTTAATCTCTTGATCGAATATATATTTTTTTAATTTCAGCAGTAATTGCACGCGCCGAGACGCGTGAAAGACTTTTCATTATGATGGAAGATATATTTGTATACTTCCAAACTTTAATTTTTAATCTCACATTGATTGTGATAAAGCGAATTGCGGCTGTTTTAAGATTAAGCATTGTTCTTTAAAAATTTTAATTAAATCTTATTCATAAATTATCATCATAAATTATCATCTATAAACAAAATAAAATTTTTCCCATACTCGTGACAACGACTCGCTGCATCGCCGACACAGCGAAAACCTGATAATATCGTATTTCACGAGATAGCCTAATTTGCAAATAGAGGAACAGGGCGCCATGCGGGTCGAGCGTTTTAAAGTTTCGAAATTCATCAGTCTCGTTAACGGGAAAGTTCCAAAACTGTTTAATGAGATAAAGTAACGTGACCTTATTTACTTAAATTGTAAAGATGATCTTCTTTAAAGTGGATTCAGTGATACTTTACCGCTTGTAGCTGCGTGTACTCGTTCACGTTGGTTTCGTATGCCCACTGCGCTACTACATTAGCGCTACATCTCTCTGCGCCGAGGAAGTCTAATCTGGCTAGGATATTCTGATAATTTAATTCATTGGGTGGCAGTTGTCGGCCAACATCGTCGTCCCTGTACGGCGGCAACTGTCGGCCAGTATCGTCGTTCCTGTACGGCGGCAACTGTCGGCCAGTATCGTCGTTCCTGTACGGCGGCAGTTGTCGGCCAGTATCTTCGTTCCTGTACGGCGGCAGGTCCAATTGACCGGAAACTGCCGATAACAGGCAGAGTACGAATGCTGTCCATCTTATCTAAATCACACATTCATTGTATATAATTTTGTACATTCTCTAACTTTATTTTAAGCATACAAACACGTTTAAACGACCATTCATCTACCCACATTAAAAATAGTGACGGATTCAAATCTTATTAATTCCTGATTAACGAAAGTATTGAGTTAGAAATATTCATTGCCAAGCATAAAATATCCTCTTCTTCAATGTGCCTTTCTGACGATGACAATTATTTTAGAAAGAGCAATTCTGTGATTATATGACTTGTCCACTAAAGAATTGTTTTAGCAGACCTTCTTGTTTAAAGTTTCTGTCTATAATAATATTATGGGAAACAGTAACTAGAATCTTGTTAGACACGCATATTTAATATTGAAACATAAGAGTCTTAAAAGTATCTTAATGACCTCTATTATCTAAATGTCTTATGTGTCGACTTTGAACATGTTTGGGCCGTTGCCCCTTCTTCGATCGATAAAATATTTTTTCTAAAATAGCATTTGTTTCAAATAAAATTTCTGCAAATTTTACGCCTAATTTTATTAATCAATTTATCATTTTATTTTGATTTATATATCGTTAACACTTGCCATATTTATATATTTCTATATTTCGGTAAATGGCGAGTAACGCGTCGATTAAGGTTGATGAACTCGATCGCACGTGCGTGTGCCAATTTAACATCTTTGACCTTCGTCCTGTCAATCAAACCTATCAAGCTACTTCATAAATTTTGTCGCGTATTTTATCACGTTCTCTATGTTTGTTTGCTTTGTACAAATGACGTATAAATAGAGGGTGAAAATGTCCAAACTTTCCGAGGAATAAGAATCTATTAAGCAGTCGGTGCTCAGACATATCGATCGAGAAGATAAAGCGGCGTAGTTGTCAAAGAAATGAATGACCGGGTAATGACCTTCCGCTAATGGGATTCACGAATTTCCGTATTTCCTTCGCGATCGTTATCTCTAACGACCGTCACCGAACTATTGTACAATACAAAAAAGTTTTGAATAATTTCGATATCGCCAAGCGCACTTTATCTTACAAAGTATCAAGAAATAAAGAGAAAATATCATGAATTGCTGTCGAAAGTATTCTAAGATTTGCATCAAGCAAGGCATAAAGCAGCGTATGCGGAGTGACGGGCTTAGCTTTCCCTCACGAAAAAAAAAACAATTATAGATTCGTGAAGCGATGGGAGGGAGGGCCTTGCCTCGCGCAAGTAGGATTACCGTGCCAGAAATTACCGCGCGCGCCCGCAAATTATTATGGGACCTCTCGCTCGCTTGCAATTTAATATAGGAACCTCATTGTGTTTTCTCTAAATCATGCCATGACATTATGAGCGGAGCATTTACGCGTAATTCATTTGTTGGTCTCACGGTCACGTGTTACGTCTTCGCGTTACGTACTTCCTCCCGGTATGAAAGGTATCTGCTTATGCACAGTAGTAGGTCACCCGCGGTTGATCGAGATGCGATGACCTTGGTTTGGTACAATTGCGCTTATTGAAGAATATCTTTCATTCTCTTTTATAAATTTTTAACCGTACAACCGCGTGCGAGGTATAGTGTTTCACGGTATTGTGACTAAAGTAATTGCTTCTGACGTTTCTGCTAAGATAAGCGCGTTTTAATAATCACGCATATTTAATATTGAAACATAAATCGACGATATATGTAATAATTCTAATGGATCATAACTGATAATGAGAACGTCACGGAGATATATGGAAAATAATCCGAGCATACTTCATAAGCATACAAACGAGGTCATCGTTACCTGTAACTAATATGCTTTAAGTATCGTGCGTTAGGATCTAACGAATGGAGATGATTCATATAATGCCAAGAAACCTTGCATCTATTTTTCAACGATCATTCTTATACAAAACTCGTCATATTAGAATTCGAGTGTAAAATACAAGGTGTAACATAATATGTGGAACCTACCTCAGGTATAATTTCAACACATAAAAGAATAAAAAATAAATTTATCCCTATAATATATATAAATATCCAGATATTATATTACATCCTGTATAATCAAGATAATCATTTGTATCATAATTGCTGAAAATCGCAGCATTTAAAATTGCTAAAATATATTGACAAGCTAAATAATATTAACAAGCCAAAAGAGCTTTAAGGGCAGGATATTATCATTTGCAGAAATGTCGAAATTTCGAATGAAAAAGAGGAAGAAATATTATCAAGATGATTATATACACAGACATTAAAAAGGAAAGTTCTTTTATATGCAGAGCAAAACTGTTTAAAAATTAAACTGCGTAAAATTAATCTTCATAGCTAATACCTGAATATCTCCATATATCCTGTATAAAAAATGTTGGCACAGTTTTGACACTCGTTAGATTCGTTTATCCTCTCTCTATTTGAATCCCTAATTTGCTTAATCACATTTAAGACATTCGTACATTGGTGACATTCACGATGCTTAACACTAGAAGGAGCACACTTATTATTTCGGATACAGTGTCTTCTCTTATCTCAATCGTAGCTCACTTAATTTTGATCAAAGTCCTCAAAAATTTGCGATTTTTCACTGAATATAATTACGTGATTTTCGAGCGTGTGAGCATCACGATATTGGAGACGAGCGATCTTCGTCCTTCTAGTGTTAAAATCACTGCAGGATCACAGCCACCCCATCGGTATCGACGAAGAGAGACTTACAAAGCTGCCACTGACGCAGTCCAACATCCCGCCAGTTCCACCGAAGGCGAGCTCCATGAAAGTCGAATTTGTTTCAATCCTCGATAAAAACCATCTACAATCGTCGTTCGATCGATCGCGGGTGCGCGCAACAACTTTTCGTCGTCGTCGTCGCGGTCGTACGAAATTCCGTTCCACTGATCAAGCACGACTAACACGAGCGACGGTCTCGTTCTGCCGACGCTAAAAGCCTCGTGGACGACGCCAAGTGTACATTTATCCCTGCGAAGCTGTTCGAACGCGACCACGAGGAGGTCATCCGTAGCGAAAAGGGTGGGGATTCGCGCACACCTCATTCGTGTCGTTGGTTCGTCGGTGTCGCTGTTACTTAGACGGATTGTCGTGGGAGTAGGTGGAAGTAGCCGAGGACGAGGAGAAGAAGACGAATAGCTTTGTTCTGTTCGCATCTGAGGGGACCAAGTTCCTTTCGAACGAACTTGAAACCTATGGCTACAATTCAGGGCTAAGAAAGTTTGTGAGGGTTGATATGATGAAGATCGAAGTTTTCGTTTTTATTAAAAATTCAATGTTGAATGTCGCGAGAGGCGAAAAATTTCGTGGAAAGAATATGTTAATTTAGATTGAGGGGAACGAAGGAAGGGCAAATAGAAACATAGGAGCGTCGAGTAGTGACGAGAGGCGGAACGATGGGGGTCGAGGGCCAACCTGCTGTCGGATTGCGACAACCTGAGGCTCTCACGTTGACAAGAGTCATTCGCTGACTCCTCTCAATGAGCCCCATTGTCTATCGGAGCGCACGTTTGCTCTTTGCAACTCTGTAAACATTTAAGATGTATTTTCGAAGCCACTAGCAGAAAAAGAGTGGTACCGGAATGGCAAGGCATTATAGTAATTAAAATTTAAAATAAAAATAATAGATCGGCTCTTGGTGATAAGATTTAGATAAACGACACGTTAAGAGTTTGATAAATTAACTCACGGTAATGATGCATAAGCGGAAACTTCATTGAGATTTATTCTCGAAAACTTACATCCTAGAATGCTCACTTAATTAAGTCGTACCGATGAGAGAAGAAATCGCGTCGATGCATTTTTAGATAACAGAAATGAAGGCATTACTCGATCGTTTATCACTCTTTTAGTAAAAAATTCATGAAATACTTCACCGTCACTATTTCATTTACTAGATTGTAAATTATTAGATTGTGATTAGTTTATGATTATGTAAATTACTATGATCGCGCAATTGTCAATAAATTGTAAATTAAATTACCATTAAAAAAGAACGTGTAACATCAACTTGTCTTATTAATAAAAATTTAATAAAATTTCTTTTCTCGAGGTTTACGAATTTCCAAAAATGAGTAAGTAACATATATTAATTTAATATTAAATATGTTTTCGATCAACACGAAGTAAATTTCACTCCTGAAATTAACATCAGGTTTATTATACAATAATAGATCATTTGAGATTAATTTAAGATGCAAGGAACATAATGTATTTTGCGCTTGTATATCTCATTTGAACAAGCGCATTATGTAAATTGCGAGACGCGCCTCTCGAACGTCAAATGTTAACGTTTATTTCGTAGCGGTGACGTATTAACTGCACAGACATCTATAATAGACGTCTGTGATTAACGCGACGTTTATTTTATGCGGAACGAAACTGCGAAACTGAGTTTCGCAACCACCTTGTCAATATTGATCGTGTTAAATCCGAGTGCGGTCATTTAAAAAGAGAAGAAAAATAAGAGGATTATCAGTCTTTATTCGTAAACTCGGATGGATAGGCGGCGTCCGGCCGCAGAGACGTCGCGTTATCCTTCGATCGGAACAAATACATGAGACGCCAAAAGTGACCATACCTTATGATTAATCAATCCGTACGATTAATCAATTCCTCGAGCCACGATCGAATGGGACGTGTAGGTTTGTCGAGGCGTCAGTTGTCTCTCGAAATAAATAGATATATCTCCCTCGCGGTATCTTGGAGCCTCATAAATTACTTTTAATTGTTCCATCGCGCTATTCACGCAATCGTTATCTCGTCAACATATCACGCGTCGCACTTTGAATCTCTTCTCTTTTTCGCTTGTGCATTTTGTACATATTTAGAATTACCTGCAATTTCGAATCGAAAGCGTGAAGGTTAGGACATCGCGTGCTTCAATTAAATAACGAAAAGCTGCGGTTTATCAATAATATACGATACATCCCGCTGCACATTTCGCGGAATTTATACGCCCGAAATGTATTGCGCGTGTAGTACGGAACTATCGATATTGCACATATGTTTGCTATAATTATTTCGGCCTTATTACACGAGTCGTATCGCGCGTAATTTTGCGGACGCGGCTTTTGAATTTTTGGGGTTAGCGCGATCGACTGCACGCGTGAATATGCGGAACGACCCGAACGACGCAGGGTGTCGCGAGTGTCGCGGGACGCGCGCGGCGGGGCGGTCAGGCCGCGGTCAGTTCGCGACGCGCTTTAATTAGCGGGTACAGCTGTTGCAATTCTATATTTCGATATTCCGTCAATCGCGTGTAGCGCGTGATAGATTCGATGTTTGTGTATACGTACATCGGCGACACGTTAAAACTCTTTACCATTCAAGGTTTGTTTATCGCGTTAATTTGCGAAATGCCATCACTAGCGGATAATAGCTTTTATGCGCGCGATGATCGTATCGTTTTTTTCGCGTCTGTTTTTCCAACTTAATAGCGTAGTGCGCGTCGCGGTCGCGTGTGATTAACGGTATCGTGTAAAATATCGCACTCCGTCGTATTTCGGGATGATCGTAACCGATTATGTTGTCGCGTGCGAGGACCGATGAAGGACGCGACGGCGTGGAAGCGGCCCAGGAAGCCCTCGGGATGAGTAATCACCATCGCGAGGTAAGTGAAAACGACGCCAGAATATTTTTTGCGAAAGAGAGGTTAGGTTAGGTTACGTCTGCGTCCCCGGCGGAGATATTTCTTGTCGCGTTCCCCGTCGAACGCTTTATATTATTATAAAAAGAAGCTAGAACGTCTTGAAAACATTTAAATTTTCAATAACATTTGAGATCTTCAACATCAAGATCTTTTTCGAAATATTCGTGTCTGGAAAAATTTTGCAATTCAGAGTAATGTTGGAAATTATTATTCGAGATTTTTTATATATTTTGGAGGAAAAAAGAACATATATAAATATATATAAACATATAAAAGTTTATAATTATATATAATTATATGCAAAATATGTTTATATATATCCATGTATGTTTCTTTCCTTTGTAAAATTATTTAATACAAAAAAATGATAATAATATAAGGAAACTAAAAAATAATTAAAGGGATAATTTAATTTACATTGTTTTTTTACAAAAAATCAAGTTTGAAGAAATGAGAAAAATTGCTCATATATAATGGTATATAAATGATTTAAAAAATATATATATAGGTATATATATAATTATACACAAGCAATTTTTTCTTTTTTCTTAAAACTTGATTTTTTGTAAAAAAAACAATGTAAAAATTATTCGTTTAATTATTTTTTACGTTTTCTTTTTATTATTATCAGTTTTCTTTTATTAAACAATAATTTGACAAAGGAAAGAAACATATATGGATATGTATGGACATATTTCGCATATAATTATGTATAATTATATATAATTATATATTTTTATATATGTTTATATATATTTATATATGTTCTTATGTAAAATTTTTTACCGAGTTTTAATTTTATTAATTCGAAACCTATTAATTCACTGGTCACTGTATGTAGTACATGCCTATATGGCAATTAAGAAATCAAAATCGTGGATAATATAAATCAATTGAGCTAAATTAAAACCAATAATTAAATGATTAATAAATAAACAACGCTTGCGGATTGATACATGTATAGGAATGTATTCCAAACGGCAGATTCCATGAACAACTTCGCTTCGATAATTGCCACCGGTGTCGCCGCTCATTGAAACAAGTTGTTCATTCGTGTTTGTTCGCGCTCCAGCTTGCGCCGGCTTTAACGATCGCAATTCTAAACGCACGAGCTCTACGCGATTCGCCAACTTTGCATTGATCACTCGAAGTCGCAATTGCGACTTCGATATTTATTGTGTACAAGGATCTCCGGACCCTAATTTCTAAAGTACGCTGTTGAAGTGTTACCACACGGCGGTTGCAGGATACTCTGTATGCATGAGCAAACATCGCACCTGTGCCGAACGGGCCGGGCGGTTAGGAGTAGGTTGCAGAAATCGCGATTTGCCCGCGCGCACCGCGATTCCTATAGATGAATCGCCGAAGGGCGTGTCGTATATGAAACATCACGATGAACAGGTTTCCGCGAAGCATCGACTTAAAAACGATTCATCTCTGCAATCTCCGGCATAATGCGGGATGACTCACGGGCTCGCGGGTCTCTATCCGGCGTAATTACGCTTGATAATCGAGACGGGACGACACGTGTGTCGTTTCCCCGATTCCGATCGACCTCTCTTTCCTCTTGGGAACTGTGGCGCCATTGTTCAAAATCCGAGAGAATAATCTATGATGTAGAAAAAAAAAGAGCCGTTCAGCGAGCCGCTAACTCGATTTACCTCCAACTGATGTCGGCAAGGAGTCTATCTCAATGCTGGGGTGCGACGTTACCGTTCCGGATGCTGCGCGCGTCACAGCTATAGTGGAAAAGAGAGAGAGAGAGAGAGAGAGAGAGAGAGAGAAAGAGAGGAAAAAAGGAAAAGCATGTAAATCGCGGATAGCGCGCGTGTAACGTGCGCGCGTTACAAGCCGTAAAGTTTAAACGCAGATACGAATCGGTATACATACGCGTATACACGAACCGTTTTCTCGCCTGCAGCCTGCAGGCGCGCGCGCCTTCGCGCGGTAGCTGATCTTGAACTACATGTTCCACTTAAGCTTTCATGATCGGCGCTCTCTGTGACAGCCCTGACGGGGCGACCGCGCAGGGTTATCCGTATAACGATTGTGATTAATACACGGGCCGCACAGAGCTCGCCGCGCGGTAAAGGAGCGTAAACAACCGCGCCCAGGCGCGGGCTGAGTGAGGATAGTCCCACGACGATCTGGAATGTACGTAACTGCGAATGGTCTAGGCCAGTTTACGAGGGACCTTGGAGCCGTTATGGCGAAGTTCTTGCGTGCATATACGTATCTGCATATTCCGTACCGTACGTACGTACGATGCCGCTCGCATGTACCGTGGCCCGATATACCCGTTTACATAATCCGCTCTTACATCGTAAATATTGTATAATATAGGAAAATATGATTGATATTATTTATTCCTAGACGGTTTTAAGTTTTACCGCATATAAATTATCATGTTGCTTTGCTTCTACAACTATAAAAACTATATGAGGAAAAAAAATTTGCATCTCTATAAGCGACTTATCTTTTATTGCTACACCATTTGAGTTTACTTTAACCAAGTCCGGCTACATTATTTTTTAAATTGCGGATAATAGTTTATATAATGCGAATTGTATACCGGCAAACAATTTCAGGATTTCTTTCTTTAATCAATTTTTCTTTAAAAATATTTCTTTATCTGAGTTTAGAAAAAAGAATGTTTGATTTAAAAGTTTAATTTAAAAATTAAAAATTACAAATTAGAGAGAGTTCTACTTAATATGTGTAATATATAACATATATATTTAGAAAGTTCTTAATTTGATTAATTTTGGCTAATGCCAAGTTTTTTAAATAATATATTTAAATAATTATTTAAACATAAATAAATGCTGATGATGAAATAATAAATATATTGTTTAAATACAATAATTAATGATCACGGTTAAATGTTTTTTTTGTTACATATAACGATTAGATCAGCGTGGAAATATACAGTGGAAGTTTTGTTTCGTAAAATTATACCAACATATATATTCTAGAAATTGCGACCCCAATGCCACTGGCGTTATGCTCGTACAGGTATCTCTCAGAAGCACTAGTTTCCTGCGTGCCTAGACTTGGACAATGCTAATCTCATTGGCAGAGATAATGCGTGCACCGGTCTCACGTACCGACCGCAATTTCAGTTTCAAGTACGCACGAGCGTGTTTACCATACGTTAAATACGGTGCAGCCGTGTGTCCCTCGCGTTTCTTTTTGCCGCTTTCGGGCGGAACCTTAATCGACTTTGCTCGCGCCGCAGAGAAGAATATCTTCGCGCGGACAGAAAGAAAAAACGAGATGACGTTGATACTTGCGCAATTCGCCGTACTCCAATGCTACTCTAAGTGGCACAAGTCGTAAGGAATTTACGTAAAATTGCCGGAAATGCATTGTCGTTGCCGGTATTTTCGATCATTGTTATTCATAAGTATACAGTTATGGCCGATTCTCTGATTTCCTTTCCTCGCGAAACGGGTAACGTCTTTGTCGGTCCTGTAAATGCGATCTTTTCTATTTCATTGTCACTTTTTGACGTCACTCACTTATTCTGAGAGTTATTGTACCAGTTATATTTTAACGTCGTACATAGATCTGTTATTTGTTCGATTTACATTCATAACATTCAAAAGAAAATTCGAATATTAATCATAAAATACATAGTTTAAGAGAATATGCAAAGTTATTTAAAATTATGAAAAGTTAAACCTTAAAAAGCCTATCATTAGCAACATATGCAACATATTTTTTAAAACACACTACAATGTTTTTATATCATTTTGCAAATTTTGCTACACGTTTATTTAAATTTTATAAAACATTTCTTTTGATTTCTAAGAATCAGATTTATAAAAATTGTTTATCTCGATAAATGTAAATAAATTGCGTTTACATAATTTAGTTTGAATTTAAAATAAGACACTGCCAGTAATTATATTTGTTAATAAATATAATAACTTAACTAGATTAAAATATATAGAGATATAAAACTTAACTAGATTAAAATATTTAAAGATATAAGAACTAAAGATTAGAAAAACTTTTCATCGCGTTTTTTTACGTGTAATCACGATATATACTTATATATAGATTTTTCTAACGCTTCCTTCTTCGAAGCCTTGGAATTAACAAGGCGTGTACATTGCTGAACTGTGAATTTTCTATGCGTGTATTATCACGCGATAACAATGCGATCGTAATGAGTGCCGATAATTATTTATCTCTTGACTTAGAGCTGGAGGAACGTGGGAAAGTGTCGAGATGAGTAACCGGTATTACGCTGTTAAGAATTATGCAAAGCAAAGCGCGACAATGCGCGCACGGATGCAAGGATTCGAACGGTCGATGAAATCTTTCATATAGACTTTAAAAGATCGCGTATCTCACTGACGCGAAAATGCAAAGAGATAACGCGGCTCACTTTAGACAATCTACAATTTACGTTTAGATTTCACGATAGAATTTTACTTACAATTTTGTATGTGTTCTTTTTAATGTACGTTATATATATATATATATATATATATAAAATATATATATATTCCAATTTCTAAATGTTTCTTGCGTTACACGGTACATAAAGTTAGTAATCGGAATTTTATCATAATTTCTGACGAAAAGACAGATTGTCCAGCTTAACGAGCAAGCCAGGCGGAGAAACAAATCTCCGTGATGCGGTAAAATTGATTTCATGAACTCGATCGCGAGCGGCAGCAAGAAACTGGCCTGATTGCCGGTCGGACTTCAAGGTGATCTGTGACCGAGAGGTAAATAAAGCGGAAATACGTAACGCAGGTAGCACATTACATAAAGTGTCTTACGTTAAATAAATCGACGAAACGAGGCGCGGATAATCGCGTACGCGCGCCACGTTACCGCTAAACGTTTGCCGACAAAGCCTTCGTTCGCCGACGCAGCTTAACTGCAGTCGTTGAAGTATAAGACATCGTAAAAGGGGCAATTTTGTGTGCGTGCCATTTTTATCT